TTAAAGGGTCCCTGCTGGTGATTTTACCTGCTACTATCCAAATTCACTCGAAGCCTTTGATACAGACCAACTACAGCAGTAAGTTGTGTCAATATTTTTACGGGAAGGCTTGGCTCATACATTATCCTTTTCACAAGTTAGCGTGAATGTTCTTACGCATTCATTCCCTGACAGACTACGCGGAATTTAGTCGTATCAGATGTCATTCATTGATAATTAGTTTAGTGCTCATTGGCATGAGCAGCGAAGGAAAGGAACGATCTGCTGTCTTAATGATACAAGATTTTCAAAATTTGACTGTGATAGTTACGAAGTACGTTCCTGATATCACTCAGGCGGCTTGTGAAACGAGATACTGTGCTTGAAGTAATAATGACAGGGTGGGAGATGCCGGGAATTTCAAATTTAATTCTATAGGTGGGCTATACAGTATGGAATACTCTTAAAACAAAGTAATCTAAGTTTGATGGTCAGGTTTCGACCGCACGATATTTTCTTGGCATTTTGAAGTAAGAGGATTCTTAAAATTCATTTATTCACGACGGCACTTTTACTCATGCTTCTGATAAGCGATTCAGTCATTTGAGTGTCGCCTTTGATTGTTCTAGAATATACAAGGGCCAGTGGATCTTGTCCTGGATAAGGCAGAACCCTAACTTAAACGAAAATCTGTGGAAATTCAGGAGTCACTTATGTGCTTTCATGTTTAGGATCTGTTTCGCCAATCGTCTGTTACTCAGATCTTCATTTGGAATGTCAAGCGTATTTGGCTGAATCCTTCAATTGCACAAGGCTGGTAGGCATGTCACGTCGTACACCCGGTCATTACAAGCTGCATGCCCCGCTTTGTTTCTATGCTTGGCTAGAGTAGTGGATGGTTTTCTCTCGTCCTCCATAATGAATTCGCTCGGAGAAAGTATATTCTTGCTTTTCAATCCCGCGCAGGGGCTGAGTTGATGCTTGTGGGAACGATAATGGCTTCCAACTTTGCACGAAACTGTGATGCTAAATGATTCGAATGAGGATATCTGCTTGAACAGTCTTGTCCATGCTTGCTGTTATCAGAGGGACTGAGCACACTTCTTTGTAAATTAATACCTTTTTATATCTATTGATCGATGATTTCAGTAATCCCGTCACGCTTTACGGAGAGGAAGTAAATCCTGATGTAAAATATCTTGTATTTATGTGGGCCACTGAGCTTTCGATTGGAAAGGCATAGCTGGACTGTTTGGAATACTGTCTTGGTTCATCAATTGTTTTGTAGTCCATTATTATTTGGAATGTATGGGATGACACTTGATATCATGCTTTGCCCGGTGGCTATTGTGAATCAGTAGATAGTTTGGTATTGCTATATCATGCCTACGGGCTATATATGGTCAGACAATTTTGCAGGTGGCATTTGTTCATGATCATTTTTCTTAACACTGTTTTTGGAGAGAGTGTGTACCATGAGAATCGTCACTAGTGATGTATGGTGTCCCTGATGTTCTTCTGGACCCCAAGCGTACCGTCGGATGGCGATCATTGTGGATCCCGTGATCAGTAGGATTTGACTTAGCTAGTGATCGCAAAGAAGTAAAAACGGCAATGTGGTTGCCGGTTTGAGAATAGATTTTAAGTACGCTCTGGATGTTGTCCTATGATGGTGTTATTCCCTGTTTTAGGATATTTGGGGTTATTCACTGCAAGGTTTATGTATATTTGTACAAAAAATTTGAAGTCAAGCAATTTATCTTGCAAAGTTTCGGTTGCATGATTATCTAGGCGGGCCGATGTGGAGGGATTCGAGGGTTAAGCAGATCGGGCCCTAGACTTATGTTTAAAATTGATGACTTAGACTCATATTTTTTTTAGCAGGATCGCGGTAATGTTAGGTCGTGGGTTGAGTTTTGACGCGAGGAAAGGATTTTATCATGGATAATGGCTGTTGAGTATCTTGGTGTTTTCCGTTATTATGGACATGAGCATTCACAATTATATTTTTGGATCATGTTTCCAGATAAAGTTTGAAGGTTGTATTGGCGGAAATCTGAGGCCTGTGCCTTGGGTTGTGGTGAATTTACTCTTGTTTAGTCTCTATGTAAAGAATGTTTGTTTATGTATATGCAGGAAATATGTTCACGTTAAGCTGTACACTGTTAAGAGACAGGAAAACAGCCAAGTTGTTTTCGGTAGATGATGTTGCGCTCTAAGTTTATACTCCTACTGGGACTTCAGTTCGTAGGTCTCATATGGTTTCTCAAAGGTTTTTTCCCCCGAAAAGTCACACTTTCAGGGTTCGGTGAATTTGCTGAAAGTGGCACACCATTTGCTGCAGAGTCTGGTGCACATTTCGACAAGCTTATCTTGGTAGTCGTTGATGCGTTAAGATCGGATTTCATGTTCTCATCTGAAGATTCACTGATGCCGTTCTTACATTCTTTAATAAAGGATGGCCATGCCCTTCCCTTCACGGCGTTTTCTCATCCACCGACGGTGACACTCCCTAGGCTCAAAGGAATAACAACTGGCGGAACACCTAGCTTCGTTGATGCGCTTCTCAATGTTGCTGATGACGCAGACCAGACTCAAGGCTTGGAGAATGTTGATTCGTGGATTCATCAGTTTAAATTTTCTAAAGAGGAGCGGGTTCTCCACTTTTTTGGGGATGATACCTGGTTGAAATTATTTCCACCAAGTAAATTTTTTGAACACTTCGAAGGAACATCTTCTTTCTTTGTCAGTGACTTCACTGAAGTCGATCTTAACGTCACAAGACACTTGTCAAGTGAAATTGACGATAATTCGTGGGATGCGTTGATTTTGCACTATTTGGGTTTAGATCATATTGGCCATAAAGGAGGAGCTAAGTCTGTTTACATGGCACCTAAGCAAGCTGAAATGGATAATGTACTCGAGCTTCTCTATCAGTCTAGAGTCCAAAATACGAACGATACATTATTGGTGTTGTTAGGGGATCACGGGATGAATGATGTCGGAAACCATGGCGGAGCATCTGCTGGAGAGACCAGTCCAGGGCTTATATTAGCTTCTCCAAAGTTCACATCAATTAGTGATGAGGTGAATGCTCCGTTGAAGAGAAATGCTGAATATAGTTATTACTCGGCGGTATCGCAAATTGACATAGTTCCAACTCTTGCTGCTTTGCTCAATTTTCCCATTCCGAAAAACAACCTTGGCATTGTACTTTCACAAGTTCTCAAATTATGGGCAGATGAATCATCCCAAAAGGCAGTCCTCATGGAGAATTGTCTGCAATTTATTGCTCTCATCGCCGAGAAGTATGATGAAACACATGCCACATACAAATCTTTTTTTGATGAGTTTCAGCACTTGAAAAATGAAGAATCTTTGCCGCTCGACTCTTATTATTCATTTTTAATAAGAAGTCAAAGACTTTTGGTGGAAGAATCCACGAATTATGGATATTTTGATATAGCCTATGGGTTTGGTCTCATATGTGTTTCTGTCATTTTTATTTGGCTTGACATTGTAAAACATTTACGAGGCTCATATGGGATCACTTGTTTGTTTGCTGGTTTTTGCATACTTTATTCCCTTCATTTTCATGGGTCCTCGCTTATAGAAGAGGAGCATCAGATCTGGTGGTTTTTGACGGTAACTATTCTCTTTGTTCATTTGTACATTATGAAACTACGCAGTCGAGCATCCTTTTTCCTAGCTCTTCTTGCCGTGCGCATTATTAGGGGATGGAATGACTCTGGCCAAAAATATTCAAGTGATCACACAATTTTCAGGTTTTTAGCCTCACATCCTGATATCAATTGGTTGTTAGTTTTGATAACCTACGTTTCACTCACTGGTCAGACTTACTGGTACAGCTGTTGGGTGGATTCCGTCGGATACTCCGCGACTCCCCTGCGATGCAGAGTAATCATATCAAATTTTTTCCGTCTTGTCACAATATCCGTGATCTCGACATTGTCATTTTCGTTTAAGCTAGGGCAATTTTCGATTGATGGGTCGAATATTCCACACTGGCTCACCCCATTTCATCTATTCGCAAGCGAACTTTTTGGTAACTATACTCTCATCGATGCGAAAGAATTCCAATTCATCTATGTTCGAGTTTCGCGGATGTTTTTTGCAGGCTTGACTGCAGTCTTTTTGGTTCAATTCATACTTGTGAACATCAGAAATTGCAGAAGAGTTGGGATAATGAATTTTTCCAACGCAGTAACTCTCTTTTTGATTCATCAAACGAGAATTGAGATCATTCCAATTTTTTTGGTTTTCTCCGTGTTGAAACTTGCGTATTCAAACATGATTACTCAGATAAAAGCTTCTGAGATCAATACCCAAGTTGTTTTGATAACTTTATTCTCATTATGCCTTCAAAATCTTTCATTTTTCTCCATTGGAAATACCAACCTGTTGGCCACTGTGGATCTTTCTAACGCCTACAATGGAATATCGGAGTATAACATTGCTTCTGTCGGAATTCTCACATTCGTCTCAAATTTTGCTGTTGCTATCTATTGGTCTATTGTCGCGACTGAGTTGTTGGCCAATAAAATTATCACATCTCAAGCATCAATCTGCTTCAAAGCCTTGACTTCCATGAGAGCATCATTGAACTTGGCATTCTACTCCATTTCTGCCCTTAGCCTAATTGGTTCCTGTATAAACTTGAGGTTTCATTTGTTCATCTGGTCTGTTTTTAGTCCAAAGTTACTTTTCTTCGGTGCGTGGATGGTTTTTATCAACTTCATCTTCGAAAACTTGCTCTTATGTCTTTTTTAAACACTTGTGTGGCGGGCAATTTTATTGAGTGCTGGAATAAAATTGTCATCATATGAAACATAATGTGGTTTACTAAGGCAGCACGATATGCTTCTTGCGATATACTGGGAATTTCCTCAAGACACCAGTTGACTATATGCGTGTCTTTGTACCCAATATTTTCTGATGATGACAAGCGAGGGCGAGATTTAAACCACAAGTCGGTCAAAACATAGCCAATACCCAAAGCATACGATATCCCGAATGTGAGTCTAGGCAATGTAAAATGCAAATATTGTACGGTATAAATAGTCAAGAATAACCATATGAGATTGTGGGAGCGGTATCAAGCTTTAGTGGTTTTACATACGATATCCAAGAGTTTTGTTGGTGATGCCAATCGGCGACATATTTTGAAATGTGTATATTCTTGTCTAAGACGTATAAGTATGACAGGATGACAGATTTGAATATTTACCCGGAGACCGCATACATCAAGTATATTCTTAACATCGCAAGAAAGCCCGCGGCTGTTTCGCGTTTTTTCGCCGACGCAAAATCGAATAATTTGACGGAGTTCAGGGCTAAAAATCCAACCACCATTCGCACCCGCATCACTTGACGCGTCTCGTGTCAGCAGTAGTTTTCCATATCTACATCTTGTTCCTTTTCCAACATACAACTAAAACTGAAAACCGTTTCAACGAAAGTCAAGAAAATCAAGTTTGGATTACACCATGTCAATTGTTTCATTACTTGGAATCGAAGTCTTGAATAATCCCGCGCGTTTTTCAGACCCGTACGAGTTTGAAATAACATTTGAGTGTTTGGAGCCTCTCAAAGAAGACTTAGAATGGAAACTTACTTATGTGGGTAGCTCAAGATCTCTAGATCATGATCAAGAATTGGATTCTATATTGGTGGGACCTGTTCCTGTTGGAATTAATAAATTTTTGTTTCAAGCAGACCCTCCCTCGCCAGATCTAATCCCTGCTAGTGAGTTGGTCAGTGTAACGGTCATTTTGTTGAGTTGCTCTTACGCTGGGCGGGAGTTCGTGCGAGTGGGATATTATGTCAACAATGAATATGATTCTGAGGACTTGAGGGAAAATCTCCCTACCAAAGTACAAGTTGAACATGTCGTGCGAAATATATTAGCAGAAAAGCCTAGAGTGACAAGATTTAATATTGTGTGGGACAATGAAGACACAAATCCGGACCAATATCCACCAGATCAACACGTTGATGAAGAAGATGAAGAAGACGATGAAGACGATGATGAAGATGAGGTAGGGGACGACGAAGATGAGCTGGATGCGGAAGCTGACGTGGCGGATGAGGACGATGACGAGGATGAAGAAACAGAGATTAACATTGATAACGAGGATGCAGAGTATGATATTGAACTTGAGGATGAGCCAATCGATGGAATTGCCGAGGAGGACTCTGGGAGTGGCGCTGCCACCCCAAAAGACAAAACCACAAGCTAAAATATGTTTCAATTCCAGATAATTTGAAACAATTGCTCTAACACAGATCAAAATACAGATTATTCATGTCAACTTAAAATGTATTCAAATTTAACTTAATGATCTACAGTAGCAGACGTATATGTCATTGGAACTCTTCCAACAAGACATTGATCACCAGACTCAACGATCCAATAAGAGACATGTCAAAACACGAGTCTGCGAGTCTACTCCCCCATTTATCTGGATGCCATCGAATTCTCTCCCTTTTTAGGAAGTCCCGCGTGTCATAATCACTCAGGGAAAGGACTTCTTCATAGAAATACCTTACTGATTTTCCATCATTTATAAGCAGTTTCATCTCATCAATTCCAAGGTCACTTTCAAAATGCTTTAGTAGTGGTAGTCTGTTCGATGTATTTAGGTATTGCATCAAAATATCATCAAACTTTTTTCGTTTCATTCCATGGGGAATCACTAAATAAGGATCATTTATCCTTTTATCAGCGATGTGAATGTTCTGATCCCCTTCGTCCATCAATCCAGCAGCTGAAATGGGAAAGTCACCGACGATCTTATAGTTTTCAAAAGGCATTAGAATGTTATTCGAGTGATAATTTCTAACAAAGTCTTTAGTCTCGCTTGTGATACGATTCGCTGTGGTTGTCAGTTTGGGCTGAGGAGTGTAATAACTATACTTTAAGTCTGGCCTCGGAAGACTACACCACACATGTTTTTCACCCACTCCATGCACGGCTTGTGAAGGTGATCCAGGTCGAGAATTCATGGGAGTTGATTGACTAATAGGGGTAGAACTAAGCTTTGTCTTGCATAAAGAGGTAGTGGAAGCCGGAGAAGACTTGAAAGATGTATCCTCTTCTGATTTCTCTGCACCATCAAGCTTATTGACAAGCGGTGCACCTGAAATTGAAAATTTCTTTGAACTCATTAGGTTTAGAATCGGTCCAGAAATCTTGGAAGGTTGTGAAGGCGTACCATCTTGTAAATTTCTCCTAAACTTTTTCCTTGGCTGTGGAGGGCAGGGCGTAGAATCTGACGCTGAAAAGCTGATTTTCAGGTATGACTCATTTGTTTCATTGTCCATTATACCTGACATATCTTCCGCAGGGGTATGAAGCTCTTTGATAAATGAAAACTTCGGGGTCATGGCTGTATGATCCGCACGCTTCCTTTTGCGAACGTAAACAGGCGGATCTAAACACTGCAAGGGATCAGAAGGAGGATCATGGTCGCCGTCCCCTTCAGAATCTTCAGCTTCCACAACTGTTGCATTGGCTATTTCATCATTGGAATCGCTGTCGCTCTGGCTGTCGTGTTCGCTGGATTGACTTGCGCGTCTGTGTTTAATGTCTTTTGATTGCACGAGCTCCCCGTTTGACAAACCAAAATAAAGCTTTCTTGACGAAGGCATAGCAAAAGAATGCATTGCCTCCTTTATTGGCTCTTGAGGAGTTGAACTATTGAGATCTAATCTGTCAAGCTTTTTTAAGGGGGAGTTGAAAAGTGAGGATGTCCCATTATGAACATGTATGGGCGTCGAAGAGGCTGTTAGAGCACAAATATCGGCTTGCCGATAATCTGAATCTTCAGTAGATGAGCTTTCGGCCCCATTGTTGTGCCATAGTGCTGGCGAAGATTCGGCAGCTTTGGTCAACTGTTGCGACAGCAGGTTAAGAAATCCGTGATCTCTCTGCAACGAATCCATCGATCGGGGCATGCAAAGAAACGTATTGATAGCAATAAAATCAAAAAAAGCTTTGTTGCTATGGAAACTGAAATATTTTTGATGTTGTAGCTTTGTCTGCCTCTATCCGAACATGTGCAAATGCTCCTATCGAATTACTCTCTATTTACATTGAACGCGCGCGAGGAGAAGGGAGGTTGTTCAAGAATTGTGGACTGTGAATGATCTTTCTTGACCACAATATTTTTACTTTACTTCGAAATAACACTTCGTAAATGAGGTAATGCGAATGGAAAAATGAAATATGTGATACTCTTTACTTGCTCAATAATGTCTTTTTAACAAGAAAGTTAACGAATTTTGGGGACCAAGTAGAGCTCAAAATACGTATATTTATTACACAATTATGAAAACAAGCTATTTTTTCGAAGTATTAGAGCATTACGAACTAAGGATAGAAGAAGATATATCACTCAACTCAAAAAGTATTTTCATCCCAAGATGAACACTTCTCAATGAGAACTTCATTTACAAGGACTTTTTCTCAATATACAATAAAAATATTACATCAGTTATGACGAGAGAAAATCAGAAAAGAGTGAGAGATGACCATTCTTTCATAGTTGTGTGGTGCTAAGAAAGCTATGCCATTCGTTTTCTTCTTAATCGAGGAATTTTCAATATTCAGTAAACAATACGTTATCTTTGCGAAAGGAAGCTGCGAGCGACAATTATAAATGCATCCATCTGCAGTGGATTGCGCGAAATTCTAGCTTTCGGCACTGGAAAAAATTGTAATTTACAACATGCTCAAAAAATGAAAATAAAGCAACCATTCTAAAAATCTTGCTTTTCAAGCATAGGTTCTTAACCGAGATATATCACCTCTTTATTCACTGCGTCTTATCGGCGCAGCCTCTCTCGCGCTATTGCTGACCTCATCCCTGCACCTCACTCTGATCTTCGCGGTACCACGTGCTGAATCTCAGGATGTCTGCGTAACCATGGAGATTGCTTTGCAGTGCCGGGTGACATTTTTGTTACTAGAAGATCATTCATTTACTCAGTTCTAAATAGTACCTTATATCAGAGAATCTACAAAAAGCATCTAATTTTGAGCCTTTACACTGAATACCCAGCTTCACCACATACTTACTCATTTCGTTGAAAGAACATTGCAGAAAGATTGTGAGACCTAAAAATTATGCCAGCGTTCATATCCAATGTTTTAGAAATACAGACCAAAAAACCACTCAACCCTGAGTTGTCATTTGGCGCGATATCAGTGCTAACATTTGAGGCTGTGATGCAGGCTGTTATCATTTGTTTTGCTGGATATGTAGTAGCTAGAGCCGGTTTACTTACATCAGCTGGACAGAAGGTAATGTCTCTGATCAATGTTGACTTGTTTACCCCTTGTTTGGTTTTCACGAAGCTTGCGTCGTCTCTTTCCATCAACAAGTTGGATGATATTTTGATTATTCCTGTCTTTTATGGATTATCTACTTTAATTGCCTATGGCTGTTCTCGTGCCACATCAAGGTTTTTGAAATTAAACTCACCAGAAACAGACTTTGTTACCGCCATGGCAGTCTTTGGGAACTCTAACTCATTACCCGTATCTTTGACTTTGGCATTGTCTTACACATTACCTGACCTATTATGGGACCAAATCCCAGATGATGATTCTGATAAGGTTGCATCTCGAGGTATACTCTACCTCCTTATTTTTCAACAACTTGGCCAAATTTTAAGATGGTCATGGGGGTTCAATACTCTTCTTAGAAAAAGATCAGCGGAAGAACTCTGCACAGATGGTGCCATGGAAGCTACGGAATCATCTAGCCTCTTGGATCCAGAAGCTAACATCGCTAATGATCTCGATAATTTGGCGCATCAGAATGCAAAAAATGATGATCCATGTCAAACTGAGAATTCAGACCGCTTCGCTTTTGGTGTGCCGCAAGAGGATGGGGCGTCAGAATACGAGGAACTGTCACATGAGGATCATTATTCCGAGCCCCATGATCGTTTAATCAAAAGAGGAGTTTTATCTATGAAAAACTCATGGCAAGCTTTTTTGTCTTTGCCTCCAATAAGAGCAATTTCGTCTTATATGAATCCCCCTTTGTATGCAATGGCATCATCTATAATTGTTGCGTCTGTTCCTGTGCTACAAAATCAGTTTTTCGAGGAAGGTACATTCATTAACAACACAATCACACAATCCGTGAAGCAATTAGGCTCCGTATCAATCCCATTAATCTTGATTGTGATGGGTTCTAATTTAGCCCCAAACAAGGATACTCCCCCACCTTCAAGAAATTACAAAAAAATGGTGTTTGCATCGCTTATTTCAAGAATGATACTTCCTTCGATTGTCCTACTTCCCATAATAGCTGCTTGTGTGAAATACGTCAAGGTATCTATTCTAGATGATCCAATTTTTTTACTTGTGGCTTTTCTTTTGACGATTTCGCCACCGGCGATTCAACTTTCTCAAATCACTCAACTAAACAATATCTATCAGTCGGAAATGGCAGGTGTGTTGGCATGGGGATACGTTGTGTTGACCTTGCCCACCACAATCTTCATTGTGGTCGCTAGCTTGGAGGTCTTAAAATGGGCCACTTGATTATCGAGTGATGTCCAATTTGAGTGAACCAGCACGTCTATTTTGGATGTCTCGATATACCTTCTGTTGATGCAAATAATGTGCTACGGTGGTATCATATACGGGAATATTGGACCAATTATTTCACATTGTGATTTAAAAAATCTCACTTTATAGAATTCAGGCAAGGTCTCCCAGCGAGGCAAGCAAGATTTAGTGAAATAAATGTCTCGGATACACAGGGCGGTAGTTCGGGGATCATGAAGCTCCGACTAGCTAGTAATATGCAGACCCGTTAATTCTAAAAAGAAATGTGCCGGCCTTCCCGCAACGCCTTCCACCCGACGAAGTTCATTTACTTTGCTTATATTTATTTTTGCAAGAACTCTGTGGGAATCAAAGGTTGCTAGGCTCTGAGGAAATGGTGAAAGCTAGAAAAATTGCTATGGTGGGCTCGCGGTCTGTGGGAAAACTGTCGATGACAGTCCGATTTGTTGAAGACCATTTCGTAGAGTCATACTATCCTACTATCGAGAATCAATTTTCTAAGACCATTACCTACAAAAACCAGGAGTATGCTATTGAGATTTTGGACACTGCTGGTCAAGATGAATTCTCGATCATGACAGAAAAGCATCTCATTGGGATTCATGGATACTTACTAGTTTATTCCGTGACATCTAGACAATCCTTTGAATTGATTGAGATTATCAGAGATAAGATTTTGAATTCAATTGGAATGGATTCTGTACCAGTTGTCTTGTTAGGAAACAAGTGTGACTTGAATTTTCAACGACAGGTAGAAATACATGAGGGCGAAGCTCTTGCACGAAAATTCAAATGTAAGTTCTTAGAAACTTCAGTCAGAGACAACATTAACATCGAACAAGCATTTGTGTCTTTGGTAGAAGAGATTGAACTCATCCAAAATCCTGAAACCCCGAAGGAAGAAAAGTGCGTCATGATGTGAGGCAAGGCAGAACTCAAAGTGATTAATTTGCCTTAGTTCTTACTACTTTCTCAAAATTTATATCGTCATGAATCTTGGAGGATAGAAAATTTCTCGAGCCAAACGAGCCAATGAAATACCACACAATGAGATTTTGAAAGCAAGGGGTAAGGTGTGTCATAAGGTCAAATATTACCCTTGTGGCTTTTCTTTTTAAAAATCGTCCTCTTTTTTTTTCTTAAATGGCCAGAAGGAACCTATTTTCAAGACTGGTTTTGGTTGCTATTCCTTGCGTCAGCTGAAAGAGTGCTTTAACAGCTGTATCTAATTCTGGAATTTTTGATATATTTGTTGTTGGTACATCATGTTTGACGATTTCAGGGAAATTAATTTATTTGGCTGCTCAATTTTCCGCAGGAGGAAAATGAAGAAGACTACTGAGAGCTATTGTGATTCTGAAGTTTTTATCACTTCTGGAAATTCTTTTTTGAATATTAATCTAAGTAAGATATAGAGAGAGCTTCAACAATTCAACTGAGGGTACATATCTGCTGCCAGCAACGAAGGTAGTGTACAATCTGCGAGATCATGTCGCGATTCTGCGGTGATGGCACGTGCGAAGTTGCAATATTTCGATTGCTTATATATACCAGGACCCTCGGCCTGGATAGGTAGGTCACCTTACCTTAGAAGAAAAGTTAAATTGTCGATGTCTGACGCACCAAGAGGCACATTGAGATTGGGCTCCACGGCTCCAGACTTCACGGCTGAGACTTCTAACGGTCCAATTTCATTTCACGAATTCATTGGAGATCACTGGGTAATTTTGTTCTCGCATCCAGATGATTTCACCCCAGTCTGCACAACAGAGTTGGGAGCTTTTGCCAAGTTACAGCCAGAGTTTGAAAAAAGGAACACCAAACTTATTGGATTATCTGCCAATGGAACCGAATCACACAAAGCATGGATCAAGGATATTGACGAAATTACGGGATCTAAATTGTCTTTTCCTATCATCGCTGACTCGGAGAGAAAAGTTGCACACGCTTACGACATGATCGATTACCAAGATGCTACCAACGTTGACGACAAAGGCGTCCAGTTCACCATTAGATCAGTATTCATCATCGATCCAAAGAAGAAGATTAGATTGATCTTGGCGTATCCTGCTTCAACAGGTAGAAACACTGCTGAGGTTTTAAGAGTGTTGGACTCTTTGCAAACTGGAGATAAGAACAGAATAACCACACCTATCAACTGGGTTCCAGGTGATGATGTTATTGTTCACCCGTCTGTGACTAACGAGGAGGCTAAAACCTTATTTCCCAAGTTTAGAATCATCAAACCTTACTTGAGATTGACACCTTTGGAAATCAAAGACGAGTAGATGAGCTTTGGTTGCTGCTCGCTTGATACGGCTTTTTATGCATCAAAGCACCTACACTCAAACACCTCCGGCTTTTGTTTTACGAACTAAATAAATGAGTTTTTTTTTTTTAAATGGAGCTCACAATTTTGTGTACTGTATTTTGTATTCATTCGACTAGAAGACTCTACGCGCGGTAATTGTCACGGACGCCTCGAGTTTCGCGCCTCTCGTTTAGTTTGGAGTAAAGTGAGACACAACACCAATATATACTAGATCTATATAATCATGAAGCAATGCTTTCGAACAGCTTTAGTGGGTTCTCGCGCTTCAATGAATTCAAGCTCTTGTCTCAGGATATGTCCTTTATCCTCACACGCCTGTTCACATCTGCCCCGCAACATCGAACGGCAAAGAAATGCTATATCACAAAGTCAAGATTTTGTTATATTTTCGCTGGAGAAAGCCCCTGAGCTCAAGGGAAATGCCGAAGAACAGCAGAGAATACTAAATTTAGGGATGATGACCGATCATCTTAAGGCCGCTATACCAACACTTCTCCAAAAGTCTCTACCCAAGGCTTTACTTCTGCAGCATGTTCTACTTCGAATATGTCCCTCATTTTTCGAGCAAATCAATTCGTACTTGCCCAATATAAAGGGACATGCTTCTTATTATGCAACGTGCAAAGCAGCTCAAATATTTCTTACGTCATTTCTTTTAAATCCTCATACACAGCTCCATATTGAGCTGATACGAACTTCCAAATTTTCTGATTCCAATTGTCTATATTCTCGATCAACCAAAATATTCGTTCGCTGGTCGACATGCTCGGATGGTTGCACTCATTTATTAAATCCAGAAAAGGCTATTGATACCGGGGCCGTGACTCGATCCACAGGAACAGTGAACTTCTCGACAGCTAATGCAAAGCTAGGATCGCATCGGTGGTCAAGCATCGATTCTGTTCAAATATTGGATCATCTGAAACAGAATTGGACATTGACGGGCTCTATTGTGGACTTAGCAAAATCAATAGCCGGGGTTAAAAAGGATGATGCCAAGTTGGAAAGAATCATTCTGGGAATCTTCATCTTCGAGTTGAACGAAGAGAACAACCAAATTGTTGTTCATACCATTGAAAATTTGAACATTATTGAAAGGAGTGTCGAGGAAGACGTCGAGAACAAACTTCGAGTTTGTTAACTCAGAATTGTATGTGAATATATAACTGCTGCATAAGAAAAGTTGATATAAAGGTTTTTGATGTTACAGCGCTTTTCTATCACAAAATCTATTGACGCTAAGCCTAATTAAACGAGTCATGTTCTTAGTTTGTGTAGGAACTGTAAATTACACTAGGATTTTTTAACACTCGAGTCACTGAGATTTAGTAAGAGTTCACATTCTCCCCTGATAGCATAGTCCAGAAGATTCTTCAATAATACCAGCTGCTTGGCTAAAGTCACCTTAATGTCTGATATTGAAGCTAAGAGATTCAAACATACTAATATGACGAATGCAAGCAGAATAATGATAAAGAAAAACAAAAGAGACATGAAATAGATCTGGTTTTTCGAGGGTTCTTGTGTGAAGTGCTCATTTTTAATTGATGGTTCGGCCTCTTGAACCCGAAGAGAGTCATTCGAAGATGATGTCAATGTTTGCTTCAAAGGAAGCGCCAAAGGCGCATCTGCAATCTGAGTTTGATTTTCGGTTTCTATTTTCAATAACTCGATGAGCCTATTTGAAACAGAAACCTGGGCCGACTGCGTCAGCTTTTCGACCATACTTTTAATCCAAGACCGCCCGCTCCATTTGATAGTATACGCAATCTTGAGATCTGTTGAATTTTGTGCGCCCCAAGTAAGATAATATCTGGTCATCACACTAAATGAGCCCCCTGAGGGTACATCTGGGGTATCTGTAATTGATAACACCACCACAGAATCGCTCAAGTTCTTGTATTCAATGATTTCTTTGACACAACATTTTGTTGCTTTTGGCCCGATCGAATACCCAAGTGGTCGTTGATAGGTGTATGATCTTTCCACTTTGGACGGATCGGTTGTCATTGGCTCAAATTTCCCATAATTAGATAAATTGGTAGCACCCTGATCTTCTAATAAGTGTTTGTGAAACTTTGTATTTTCTTGTCCAAAGAGAATCTCAAAAACTGCACCTAGAGGAGCATCAATCAGCTGTTTAAGAATTTCAGTTTCTTCATCTGCCCCCTCGAAATTACCAGTGATCCTGGTAGCAGTGTGAGAATCTGGACCTGGATTCTTGTAAGCAGAGTTTGGCTTCATAACTCTGAGCCTTGTTGGAACAGTTCCAGTAGCTTCGTTTGAGCATGCTCTATCAGCGATATCGCTTTCCAAGTTGTCCGTGTTACGATCAGAATGCTCAGCTTCAGAATCTTCAGATTGATCTCCCATCCACTTGTCGTCAATGGCGTCTCCCTCATCGATCGACATGATGTAATCAGAAATTCTCCTTTCTGATAAATTGTTGGTATCAGAGCTGAATGCTTCCATAGGCTGTAAGTCTAGATCTGAAATGTCTTTTCCAGTAGACCCCAGCCAGATTGATCTAATAAAATCAAATGTAGAGTCTCTTGAGAGAAAACTGGCAAACGTATGCTTCGAACTTTTGGTCTCAACGATGATACCATTTGGGAAAAGCCCCGCTGTTGATTTTTTGTCTATGCGAGTTATATCTGAGAAAGGAACAACAAGACTAGTTACCCAACCCAACAAGTTTGAATTAAAACAGAGACAGTGTTCTGTTATATAAAGTCTTCCTTGAAGGAGGATTTCTCTACTTATCGCACATGCGAAATCGTCAAGTAAGCGATTAGTCAAATCAATGCTTTTGAATAGCTGATGAAACTCCACATTTCTTTTCATGGTAGCATAATGATAGCAAGAGTTTTTGTACTTCTCGCTCACATAGAGTTTGGAATCAAACTTCTCATCTTGATTTGCGACCCTCAAATTGTTGCTGGTCTTTCTCACATGCGTGGTTTTTCTGTAGGTGATGATTTTTGGGGAACTGCTGTCTATCACCTCACCTGTAGAACCCGGGTCAGAACTATTTAGTAGAATGTCTCCCTCATTGTTTTTTTGTTGCCAAATCTTCATCGAGTCTTCAAACTCACTTTTTGAAACAGGGGATGATGAAGGTGAGCTTGAACGCGAAGGTTCACTTCCTAAAGCTAATGCGTTTGAGGCATTTTCTTTTGATATTATCAGACTGGCATCTTTCCGAGTTGTATGAGGATCTGCTGGGGCCAGTTTCAGCATAAATGCTGGTTGTAGAACGAGCGACAGTTGCTTGTTATTTCTTGATTTGTTTCCCGGATTAAAAATGGACAGCTGGGTCTTAGTAATTCTCAGCGAATCTTGTAATGCAGTTTCAGATGAATGAGGAACACCGAAGAGACTTGATGTTTGATCCCTATGTGGGTTTTGGGTGGATATCTCAGCATTTAAGTCTAAATCATGGTCTGAATTTTTTGTCTCAGAAGGGCTAGTGGACTGACCACCCGATGATTCAAACAATCGTAAATTCCTTTTAATCGGAACTTCATCATAATCTTTCGCCGGAAATTTTATCGGACCATTGTTGATTTCAATAGGGTATGCATCACGTATATCTCTGATTTTCGACACCGTGGATGGGAGATCTTCAGTCGATGGTGGAAATGAGTATGACCAGTTATCGTCTTCGTCTTCCATATTAGATATAAGGGGGAAAATTTTGCTTCAAACTTTTGGTATTGTTATGATTGAACAAACGAATACTTGAGATATATTTTCAACAATCTTTTGGGCAAATATTGGGGAAATTGTACGTTTGTGAGGGGGTACGTGAAACTTAGATTTCTGAAACCTTTAGCTCTTCGAGTTTTGAAGGTGACGATATGTTCACGGTACTCAGAAGACTTACTTTCTAAGTAAATTTCGAACGTGGCAAGTTTTAGGAGGGTATCCGAATGTCGAGATTTTCGCTCCCGTAGTAGTGCACCGTCAGCAATATAAGTCTAAGTGCCGGAAAGTATGGGGAAGCTTGGCTTGAAATGAAAAGCAGTTTAGCTGGGTGGCTATAAGTTGATAAATATATGACCAGCATTATTCGGTAAAAGACATGAATTTACATTGGTTATTCTCACGCCCACAAATTTTGGGCTTTAACAGTCTTAAGGAACATATTCCGACAATTTTAAGTCCCCAACAGCAGTATCTTTTTACTCCATGACTCAGGAAGAAGAAATGTTGTCACTTTCTTAAATTCAAGCTAAAAGTTTATAAAAATTGTGAAGAAAAAGGCTTTCTTTCTGACTTTGCAATGGTGAAATCACTCGGAGGTCGATGTAGCTAGAGAGTTATGTCGGCGGAATCTCATGAAGTATTCCACAAGATTCACAAGGCGATTCTTATATGATTGAATGATGTTAATTCGAAAAATAGCAAAGGATCCCAATCTACATAGTTTACCAGTTCTGGAAGTAGCATGTAATCCATCTTGAGTGGTTCATTCCACATGTTTTTTTTTTTTCAATGGTTGTTACTTTTCGTCAGGAGTATAGCACGAAGTTGCACCCGAAAAACTCACAGGTGTCTACAGTTTTCGACCCAACGCGAGCGATCACTCTAGTTTGATATTCGATAGAACCGTTTATTCAACAAACATTTGTCCTAATATGGCATATTTTACAAAACTGATCACCTTGAACATAGATCCGAAGGCATGTGTAGAACTGAAGATTTGAGCTGACAAAGCCTTTCATAGACCATTAGCAGCTGTCATGAATATAGTGCAATTATTGGTTCTCAGGACGCAACTTTCTAACTTCCTTGCCGACCTTCCAGATCTCCATGTTTCTGATAGTAACCAACTCCTCTTCCAATCTAGCTCTGTAGTCAGGAGCAGAGTTAAATTCCAAAGATCTCTTGGTCTCTGATCCGTTTCTGACCGATTCATACAAGTCCTCAAAGACAGGCTTCAAAGCGTCTTTGAATCTTGGGTACCAGTCCAAAGCACCTCTTCTGGCAGTGGTGGAGCATGCATCGTACATGTAGTCCATACCATACTTACCAATCAATGGGTACAAAGACTGAGTGGCTTCTTCAACAGTCTCGTTGAAAGCCTCAGATGGGGTGTGCCCGTTCTCTCTCAAGACCTCGTATTGAGCCAAGAACATACCGTGAATACCACCCATCAAGCAGCCTCTCTCACCGTACAAGTCAGAGTTGACCTCTCTCTCAAAAGTGGTTTGGTAAACGTAACCAGAACCAATAGCAACAGCCAAAGCAATAGCCTTCTCCTCAGCCTTACCAGTGACATCGTTCCAGACAGCGTAAGAAGAGTTAATACCTCTACCTTCCAAGAACAACGATCTGACAGTTCTACCAGATCCCTTTGGAGCAGCCAAGATGACATCAACGTTCTCTGGAGTCTCAACGTGAGTCAAGTCCTTGAAGACAGGAGAAAAACCGTGAGAGAAGTACAAAGTCTTACCCTCGGTGATCAATGGCTTAATCTCAGCCCAAGTCTCAGACTGAGCAGCATCAGACAACAAGTTCATGATGTAGGTACCTCTGCCGATGGCCTCGTTGACATCGAACAAGTTCTCACCTGGAACCCAACCATCCTCGATGGCAGCTTTCCAAGAAGCACCGTTTTTTCTAACACCGATGATGACGTTCAAGCCATTGTCTCTCAAGTTCAATCCTTGACCGTAACCTTGAGAACCGTAGCCGATCAAAGCCAAAGTGTCATCCTTGAAGTACTCGTGCAATTTCTCTCTAGGCCAGTCCGCACGCTCATGAACGGTTTCTTGCATACCACCGAAGTTAATCGACTTGACACCACGCACAGCCATTGGGGCCAGCAGACTTCATAAACTTTGGGGTTTGTCTTGATGCCAAAGCACTAAGAGCTCTTTTGGCAGCAACGTTCTTAGCGGCATTAGAAGATGCCTGACGAGCAAGGCGAAGGGAAGCGTTTTTAAAAGACATGATGTGGTTGTCTGGGAAGTTTGATATGAGAGAAAAAAAAAGATGCGAAATCGAGGGCTGAGGGCAGGTTTATATATTGCGTGAATGTAAAGCCAGAGTCAAGAAAATTTTCGAACGAACACGAGAAGGCGGTCTAAGCGCGCCCTGGCCGGTGCAGGGCCGGAATCGGAGGCAGGGCTTTACGGCTCCACTCAATTGCCGGCCAATATTGGCATTACACATACTTAATGACTCACGGAAAATACTGAACTCTAGGTCAATGGACCAACATGAAAACGGGTAATAAGAAACGTAACTCAACGTGGATCTCCTTTTTGGTCAGCTTCGAACTCGCTATTATTAAATGTAGAACGCCTTTATCGCAATTAATAGAAAGAAGAAAAAGATTCTTCCTCCTCAATATGAAAACTACTGCAACAAATTTTTCATCCCATTCAGCTTGTAAAATGAGGTCGAAAGATGAAATGCATTAGTTGTTCGTCTGTATGACACTACCAATTAAGTTAGCGCAAGCATCACGATTGCGCGGATGAACGGCAAAATCCAGCCTGCAGCTAAATATCCTATTTCGTTCACATGACTCAATCTCGTCGACCAATTATTTTGTCGTGCATAATGATTACAGCGCCGGTTACGGCCGCATGGTCGCCAAGAAACAGAAAACAGGCGACAGAGAACCGGCAACAAAATTGGAGCGAGAATGATAGTCGCCCAATGTATGTTGATATCTGAATTGTAGGACCACAAAATGTTAAAATGTGGGTTTCGATACACACCAAGCAAGTTGAAAATCGCCTCTCTTTCGAATGATGACGAAAATTGAAGATCATCTACCTATAGACTTTACGGCAAGTCACCTGCGATATAACAAGACGCCTAATTTAGACGTCTCTAAAGAGTAATCTAATTTATTTATCTTATCTGATTTATGTTGCGGAGAGATTAGTAGATATTCCACAGATCTTTCGAAACTGTACATTTTTGGTCTTTGGGTTTCAGCTTCGAGAGTGTCAGAACCTCGTGTTATTGTGGCCTAGAACTCTGACCAGCTTATTGTGTCCCTCTTTAAGTCTTCATTAATAACAACCGAGAGCAGAGAGCTTGAGTTCATGGTTAATTTCTTTGAGTCATGACCAGGATCACTTGACTCTAAATTATGAAAGCGCAAGGTACTGATGAGGTCGCCCATTTCTTTCTCATTCACTTCATCGTCCAAATCATACCATGATTTTGGTTGGTATGAAGAGCCAGTCAATGAGGGAACGGGAATGGTGAATGTTTTACTGCCAGGATAAGAAGAATTTTCAAATCTCGTTTCTTCGTTAGAGGTATTAATTGGGGAGAAGCTATTGTCACTCGCTCCGCGACACGATCCTCCTGTATTTGTTGCTGCCATTCGATCATTTGTACCTTGAAGAACATCATCCATATCAAAAAAAGACTCTTGGGATAGAGACTTAGATATTCCAATATTGTCGTAGTCTTGGAAATGTTCGTCCTCATCCCAGACTGTAAAGCCAAACTTCCAACGTTTCTCAAGCTCGATGATAAAATTTTCCAAGTTTCTCAGTTGTATTTTCTCTTGGAAGCTTTTTGAATCATCTTCCAAGCCACCTGTTTTTAGGAGACTCATAAAAATATTGAAACAGTTCTGGCTCATATCCGGGTATATGTCGTACAAAATTTCCGGCGTATTGTATAGCACAAACTTTTGGAAATTTGAATCCCATCTCAAAGATTTTTTATCATAAATGGATGCTTGATGATTATCGAGCAAGTCTTCGTCCTTATGAATATTGGAGCTCATAGCTTTGAAAGGGCTTCTTTTGAAAATTGCCGTCAATAGGGTTATCCCGAAAGACCAGTAATCTGCAGCTTTACAATTGTAAGATTTCGGGATTGAAGTTGATATAGAGTCTTTTGGAGCTGAGAAAATGAATTCAGGGGCCATATACTTCTCTGTTCCAATATTAGGAACAGTCGTGTTAAGACTTCGAGACGACAAACCCCAGTCACAAATTTTTACCGATCCACATTCTGTAAATAAAATATTTTCAGGTTTCAAGTCTCGATGAAAAATTCCAAGTGAATGTGCATGCTTGATTCCCGAGTACATTTCTCTTGCGATCTTCCAGATATCTGCTGCCTCAAGAATCGAATCGGAGTGAATGAGCTCATATAAATCTCCCCGAGCACAGTACTCCAACACCAAAACTATGTGTTCTTCTGTTTCGAAGCTTTCAAGCAAGTGACATATGTGTGGGTTATCTAGACCAAGTTTTTGCAAAATCCGAATTTCATGTCTAGCCACGGACTGTGAAACCGGGCGTTTACACATCGCTTTGATAGCCACTTTGCAATTTGTGTTGACATCGAGAGCTAAAGTTACCTTACCAAAGGAACCTTTTTGAATAATGTCTAAAAACATAAACTTGTCGTTAAGAAGTGTTCGGCCACATTCATATGATCTGTAACTTGAATCATCAGAAGAGGAAGCTAACAAAGTACTCTTAGGATTTGAGTTAGAATGAAAATCCATTTCTGCCAAATTTCAAGCAAAAACTTTTAGTTTCTTCTAAAAATGAAGCTTCTCCGTGACTCAAACGTATTGTCAAAATACAGAAAAGGATATTCGGAAGCCGTATGTTATCTCGGGCCTTTCAAGACGGGAGCTATTTTTGACCTTGTACCTTCAGCAATTGAGGAATTGCTCTTTGTAAACGTTTGAGTTATCTTTTTCGAAGAAAAAAAACCGTGATGACACTGAAAATGTTTAAAAACGAGAGATTTGGATTTGGAATACCAAGGGTTGTCTTATCAGGATAAGCTGCGTCATGGAATTTTGTAGAAATGCGAATCTGGGGGAATTGTCACGTGAGCATGGTGAATAAATTGGGGGTAAAATTGTTTTCGTATATTAACGCATTTCGAGAAAAAATCGTTTACATAATATTGTGACTCCAGATGCATTTCATAGAAAAGAAATTGGGCAACAGAGCGTACACTTCGTTGTTAATTGATATCGCCTCATAATATAGGAATTTTTCTCAGATACATTCAGAGCAGGCTGCAAATTAGGACACACCGAAATTCGAAGAAGAGGGAACAACTTGCACATTAAAGCACATGTTTCACAGTAACTTTCTCTTAGAGCCGGTTTTTCCAATGCACTCCTAACATTTTCGCGGAAGAAACGCAGAAGGATGCTTGCTACGTTCGGTGTAGGCGACTTGGTACACGTGACCATAGCCGCCGCAGTAGTAGGTTTTGAGGCGCCCACCGGGCGCAGAGGAGACTGGAGGCCATTTCCTATTCAAAGGTTTAGATAGAGATAGATATCTACACCCCCCTGCAAAGCAACATACCCGTTAGCAGACCATTAACACTTGTCTTTCACATCCAAAAGTTTGAATTTTTTTTTTTCTTTTGATTTACCAACTATATTTTGATCTCAGACTAATGTTCAAGCACCCATATGGATATTTCTGCCTTATCGAAGTTGTATGAGCGTATTTGCCATCAGTGTAGAAGTAGATAACCATGCAAATTGATCATGATCTATTGTATCATGAACGAGCACGGTGTACTTAGGACCACATAGTTTTCTTTTCCCCCAAACACTGTAGGATTAGAATATGTTTAACACATCGTGGCGTCTTTGCAAGCTGGTCGCTCGAAAATGAGTGATACTCGTAAAATATAAAAGGGCAGAAGAATTAATCTCAGACTAAAATCTGTACGAAACACACGCGGTGACTACCTTGAAATCAAATAAATTCGCGTCAATAAGAAGACAGGCAGCATGTTTTATTTTCAAATCATTCTGTGTTGATATTTATCATTTTCAATAAATTATAAGCAATTGCCTAATTGATTAAAGGGCTGGGCAAGAAAAACCTACAATGCTAAATATTGTGAACTATATAAAATAGCAAGTAGGCGTTGGTAGCCTTAAGTTCTTCATGTGAAGCGGCAGTAATTATACTATCATCGAATTTGAGCCATTGACCTGTGGTGTTTTTGATATATGTGATGTAGTGACCTGTGTTTACCAGTCCTGTATGGTTTACTATGGCAAAGAGTTCATACACTTTGGTTGCATCCGTACTTTCTTCAGTGGGTCCAATAAATTCGGAAGTGTACTTCGTCAAATCTAAGAAAAGTGGAACGTCAACATGTTCTTCAATCTTCGACGAGGTGTCGTTTGCAAAATTGTGTTTGAATCTCTTTAGCTGGAAAGAGAGCACAGGCGGAATCGTTTTAATACGAAGGTTGCGATGGGCCTGCGTTTCATTGCGGCACGATCTGCATCGATACTTGACATCCAAAAGCTCGTCACGAGTAAATTGATCAAGACAATCGTACAAGGTAGAGTTTCCATTCATGTCATTGATTTCAAGAGCTAAATCAACTAATGGATCAACCTTTTTGGTGACCAGTCCACACGTGCTGCACACTACCGAGCTCTCTAACTCGCCCATGAATACAGAGTGCATTACACACTTGCATTCACTTGAGGACTCATCCAGGAGTTTGGAGACTCTCTCATAATCATTGTGGAACTCATTGAGTAAAAATTGCCAGAATTCGTGAGCATCTTGTTCCAGAAATCCTGCAAGCAGTCGTTGCTTATACCAGGCAGTAGTTAGCAAATTTGTAATACCGAAGCCTTCTGACATCGATGAAGTAAAAATTTCTTTGAAAGCTGAGTCAATCAGGCATGTAACACAGGCAGTGATTTCGTCTATTTGATCATCACCGCTAGAATAATGGGTTTGCGATTCACAATTGAAATAATGGAAATCATTATGAAAAAAATGAAAGCGTACAAGCGGATTATGTAGCATAGTTTGAAGAATACAGCTCATGAAGCATGTCGATCCAAGATTGACAAGACCTTTTATACCCATTGCGGCTTGTAGAGAGGGTTTGACGTACCCTTCAAACTCTTCTAGTGAATCAATATCAGAATGACGGGCATCCTCTTTTGAAAGAACAGCCGAAAGACGAATTCGATTGAGTTCAAGATGGTTTGTGTAATCATGACACTGAAAACAGAAAAGTAAACCATTATTTGAATCGATTGCGAACATATGGTTTTGTTCCTTTGCGTGTATTTTGGCATGTTCATAATAACACCCCACATGAGGACACTGTAAACAAATAAACACCAGATGAAAGTTCCGAGCATCACATGAAGAACATTTAAGCACTTTTTCTTTATACTCAGAGACTTTGTCGATGGAAACATCTTCGCCATCTTTCTTTGTCTTGTAGAGGGAGCGTGTACAAAGGAGTCTGTTGTTAGCAACGACAACGGCTATGGCTTGTTGATACGTGGACTTGATGGTAGACTTTGCTTTAGTTTCAAAGACTGTGTCAAGGTGAGAGCAAGGTCTAATACTGTGAAGGTTATCAGGTGGGTATGAACTAAGATTATTTGGTTGGGGCGATCCGACATTCATTTCATTGATGCTAGAAGCGTAAAGTTCTGAAGATGGTGCCATTGAAAATGCAAGTGTATGATTATGCTGTAAATTGCGCAAAAGTTTTGTAACTTTTGATAAAATGAAGATGGAAAGTGAAACTATTGAAATCAAAGAATGCAAGGTGAAGAGAGTGTGTGATTCAATCAAGCTCTTGATCTCCGGTCTTACTCCCGTTTTTCTTGGCACCTTTTTCAACTTCTTCTTTCTTTATCAAGCGTGACACAAAGGTTTTGCTGCTTGGACCGGAAAATTCTGGCTTTGAACAATATTATGTGATAGCGGTAGCCTATTTGGTGTTTAAACCGATTGCGAGCTGATGGCGCTTCACGCTGCAGTTCGGATGATTGGGTGTGCAGACCCTGGAAGAATCAGCTAAGAGGCAAAAGAAAGGCCTTAAGAATTTCTTAATCTTGCACTGAAAAAATTAAAGTCCTTTTAAGAACTTACTTATTCATACTTAATTATTATTTGTTGATATCTAAGAAAGGAAATCAAAGGATCAATCATATCTCTATAACATTATGTGCGATATTTTGGCATCGCGAAAATAGGCAATAGTGGAGCCAAAGTGGATCTTCGACGTCAAGCTGATGTGAAAGTAAAGGCTCACAATAGGACTTAATAGACCCTCCCGCGACCATCCGGTTGACTCATGGCATGTTCTTCTGCTAGCAGTCTCATTCATCTGTTGATTTTCAGCAAACGAGTCACTCAAGCACATGTATAAACTAATGTAATTTTATATTCTCGAAAGACAAAGAGAGTTTGAAAAATTGTCATTCAACATCAATCAAAATGATCCACTGGTTCAAGCGTAGTCAGGTCACAGCTAGTTGTAAAAATCATAGTCTTCATCGTCATCCGTGCCCGTGTCTCTTATCACCTTTTTCACAAATCGCAATCTTCTGGACTCTTCCAAATCTTCATCCTGTCGGTTTGCCTCTAGCCTCTCGTCAGACGCCTTCAACGCACCTATATCGACGAGGATTTTCTCCAAATCCGAAATTTTGCAGTCATTTCCTCCTAATTGGGTCAAAGTAATATATTGCTTCACAATATTTTTCTTGTGATAGATGATTATCGTCGGACAGTTCAGTTCTGGATAGTTTTCCACACAACGGTTAGCCGGGATTTCAGTGAACTTGATTTCGGGGAATTTTTGCGCCACCACGGCTGTGAGGGTGCTTAAAAGACGACTCTGAACTTCCAGTTGAAGTGCCATATGCACAAATACATAACTCTTTTCAGATGCATCGGTAACCTCTTCTTCATACTCTGGTTTAGTAATGTGAAGGACTGTGCCAAACTTTGCCTTCTTTTGCATACTTTGAAGCTCGTGGAACCGCCTGAGCTTATATTCTTCTAGGAAGTCTTCATCTTCTTCATCCTCTAGCTCAGCTAATTCACCAAGAGTTTTACTTTCAAGCCGATTTTCATGCTGTCTGCGCACGGCCTCTTCCAATGCTTGCTCAAGCTCCTCTGTTGGTGACTTCGGACGTTCCGGAATAATCCCGTGTGAGCGAAGTATATCGTTCCACTCCGTATCCTCCGTGGGATCAACCTCCACAGGTACTTTGATATCATTCATACTCATAACAGTACTGTCAAACAAAAAAGTGGGAAGACTTGGATCAATCAAAGGTTTGTCTTCGCGTTAAAGGATTGTAGTGCGAAGGTGCAAAGCGTCTACGCGGTGAGTACCTGCTGGCGCTTAAAAGGGCATGCATTTGCGAAGAACTAAAATGTTAAAAGAGGCGAGCTATTTTATTTTATTTTCATTTTTTTGGAAGCAGGTACCGAAGAAGGCTTCCAGCAATATGACTCAATCTGACCTCTGAGACCCCTGATGCAACAATTTCGCTTCGGTGTCACAGACGTGCTTCCATCGATATGCAGTTATGCTCTGCAAAATTACTTTTTCGCCGCATAACTTCTCTTCAAAAATTCAACGTCTAGTGTTTTTTTAAGTTTACTGGAGATAAGATCATTATTTCCTCATTCCTCTCGCTTCTCGAGGAATTTACCCAATGTTTCATTTTAGCAATACACCTGAAATCAAGTTAGCGTTCTGTACACAGGTTTTGTAATGAGAAACTTGAACACACGAAATCGGTGGGTACGACTTACCCCAAAATCACTACAACTATGGTCAAGTTCTACCTCAAAGCCCAGGCTGAGCTATCAAATGTTACAAATTTAAAGCCTGTTGACACTCCGGACAGTCCCTTTGAATACACTTTCCGAATCGAATGCACCAAATGTAGAGAGATTCACGGAAAGCCAGTAACTATCAATCGTTTTGAGCAACACGACATCAGTGGCTCCAAGGGCGAAGCAAGCTTTGTTTTTAGATGCAAGTCTTGTAGAAACGAGCATTCTGCACAAATCTCCAGAACTGTCGAATCACTCTCACCTGAAAATGCTGGAAAATGGGTCAATTTGTTGGAGATTGACGCTCGTGGAGCTGATTTCATCGATTTCATACCCGAAGGAAGATGGGTTTGCGAGGCTCTAAATTCCACATCTATCTTCGACGAAGTGGATCTCGAAGACGGCGAATGGTATGATTACGATGATAATAAGGGACAAGAGGTGAGCGTCACAGACTTCAAGTGGGAGATTTCGAGGTGAAATTTTTTAAGCTTCGTGGACAGTTTTGTATGGGACGTATAGTTGGGGATTCCTTTTCTTTTGCTAATTCTTTATACGGCGGTAGGTAGATACAATAACAGTTGTACTAGTTGAAGCAACACTCCCATTTCAACTCATTACAGAATTCTTAGCAAGTGGCCAATTTAGAGTTCTACAGTTGGGTGGATTAACGTAGTTCCTAATTTTTCACTTATATACAGATAGGATTATTTAGTGGCGCTGGCCAAGTAGGTGATCAAGTCGTTTCTGTCCTTAGGCTTCTTCAAGCCACCGAATGCCATCTTGGTACCTGGGATATACTTCTTAGGGTTTTCCAAGTAGTCAGACATGGTCTGCTCGGACCACTCAACACCCTTCTTCTTGTTCGCATCGGTGTAAGAGTAGCCTTCAGCCAAACCAGACTTTCTGCCAAAAATGCCATGCAAGTTAGGACCGACCTTGTGTGGTCCACCTGCTTCGACAGTGTGACACTGCAAGCATCTCGTCTTGAAGAGAGTGGCACCTTTCTTCTCAGAACCTTTTTCGAATGGAGCTGGCATTGTTAACTTATGTTTTGACAGAAAGAAAAAAAGGAGAGCAAACGGCCTGTCACTGGTTTATATAAACGCGGCAACCGATGCCAATGAGCAGGACGATGATTATCCGCGACGATGTTATTGGCTGCATGTCGCGTTTCAATCACGTGACTGAAGTGTAGACAAGTAAGCTCGGGTCAAAGGCGTCGAAAGACAACACTTCGAACAAAAGGACACAGACTCAAATTCCAGATTAAGACTCGACAGAACAGTTACCCTAAAAGCGAAACTATCCCAAGATTTTGACTCTTACACTGTTTTGTTTGCTGTTACAGTTAATTCCATTAAAAACACATCAAAATTTTACAGTAAAATAATGCGTAACAAGTCGGACATTCCCGGAGACATTGGCTGGCAACCGAGTCGCAACGCAAGCCCGATATCTCCGTTAGACTGCGGCGTATTTCGCTTGCCTGCACCCGAATCGCCCTGTGAAGTTCTGCTTTCACGAATCGAGTGCGAATGGTTAGTATTAAGAACTGGATTTAGTCATACTCGGTGGTTCCCTAGGCTCTTCAGAAACGGCTAAGCTAGATACTTGCACAGTTTACAGTTTCATACAAGGAAGTGTATGTTCGAACCGCAATGTAATCCATCAGCACTATGAATTAAAAATAGTGTGTGAACAAAGCATGAAACCAGTAACCTCCCCCTTCCCCCCCCCCCCCCCATAAAATTCGGCAGGGAATGATTTAACCGTCAAAAATAATTTTTCAGAGATCAAGGATTAATTGCATATGAAAAGCGCGTTATTCGCTTTCTTCTTATCAAATATATTTAAAAACATTAGCTTGTGCCATTAGACCGAGATGCCGACCTGGATCTGGAGAAAGACTTGGACCTCGAGCCCGACCTGGATTCCGAGAAAGACCTTGATCTCGAAAAAGACCGCGAACGAGAAAGTGATCCAGAGTCGGATGACGAATCGTCTTTTCTGAATCTCTTTCTTCCTCTTGCCTCAAGCCGTAGCTCTTCAAGAATGCATCTCATCTCTTCTGTCAATATTCCAAGCCCGATTGCGGTGAAAAAATTGATCGAAAACATTAAATGACTCGAATCATCAGCCAGAACATTAGTCAATGGAAATAACCCACGCAAAGTTTGTCGAATCGAATTTTCAAGCAATAAAGACTTGATCTCCTCAACACCTAGCTCTTCCACCATTTCTTGAAACAAAAATTTGATAAAAACTCTACTCGCACTGTTAGTCTTGTCCTCAGTCAAAATAATATGGCCTAGTGTAGCAGAAACGGATAGACTATCTACTGCAATCAAATGGCCAAAAAACTTGCCTATGTTTCGAAGCTGCGACCCTTCGTATTGATAGATCGCGTCGTACTTATCCTTGAATTGATTGATGAAAGTTTGATTCCAGATCCCATTTATCCGGCATATTTTCTCTCCAATCACTCCGAAATACTTAGAATAAGTTTTTTCTTGAGCGCAACATTTAACGATCATGTCGATCAAAATCACTTTATCAAGTTTTTCAGATCTCGAGACTTTAAGAAGTTTGTGCACTGCCTCATCTGGAGACATACTGGACATAATAGTGAGGTAAACAAGTCTTTGCTTTTGAATTAATTCACCATCCGTCATATCTATGACAGCTGGGCTCACGTGGCACTCCAAGTTCAAGTCAGGACATTCAGCAAGATTTGGTGCTGCAGGAGTGTCTTCGCCTACTTTTTGAGTATGTTCAGCCAGTGTATACAGATGAAAATAGTTGAGATGAGATTGAGGGTCTAACTTCTGTGACAAGTTAATCAAGGATGTCTCCTTCGCCTCATTCTGTACCAATTGTAGATGCGGGTCTACCTGGAAGGTCGGGCAGTCACGCCGCATCAATAAGCAATTGGTAATTCGTTTTTGTGAAAGAATCAGTAGGTGATTTTCTTGAAGCATTAGGCGCATTCGCTCGAAGATCATGTCTAGGGCATTTTTCGAAATCTTGTTCAAATAGCTTCCAACACTCTCAATTATTAATTCAACGAGATAGAGACTGTCTTCAGTGGAATTTTCGACCAATACTTGTAGTATTTGTAGGGTTAGAATCTCGTCCACCACTGCTTGGATAGTTAAATCGCAGATGAACTTAACTACACGAACAACCACTCGTCTGTTGTTTTGGCAGTAGGCTTTCTTAAATAGACATACCAAGCGACAAAGAAGTAAATCTCCTATTTCAGGGATTTTCAGATTCACAACACAAACTATAGCGGCGTAAAGCTGATTGAGTTTGGACGATTCTAAAATTGAACGTATCAAGATGCGGCAAATCAATCCGCGTGCTCTTAAAACATCGAGTCTTAGCAATTCTTCAGCCACTTCTGATAGACAGTCGGTCAGAACTTGGGACACTAAGTCTTCTATACGCAGTTTTAAGTTTACCCAATCCAGTCGTTGGTCGATTTCGTTTTGCTGTGTGCAGCCGTCGACCTGCGCTTTCATCTTCGAATATTTAGTTCTTAGACAAATAACGTGAACAACCTTGTGACTTGATTCTAATTCAGCGAGCACATATACTCAGAATTCAGAGCGGGGAATGTAGGGCTCTGGAAGATGTACTATATAAGATATCGAGAGTGAGACGCTTTGTTTTCAGCCCGCGTTTCACATAGTTCGTATTGCTAGGCGAAGAGGTCCTGCGCACAGGGAAAAGTCCACCATCCCGTTCACATCATACCATTTGATATTTCATTTTGCTTTCACAAAATTCTCAAGAGCCTCTGCTTATTCGGCCCTTCCTCAGAAATCAATGCGGATCGTTTGGTGCAGATTTTTGTCTGTACGTGCCGAGACAACTCAAACAGTTTCAAATGTTAAGTGGAAACTTCAACATTATCAAAAGACAGGGGAGTTCAAAAAATTCAGTGCAAAAGAATTTAAGCGTAAAAGTGAGAATAACAGGAAAAAGTTGGTAAAAGTCTACTCCAGAAGCGGTGTTTCACCTCAAAAAGCATTGATTCTTATAAAAAGCAGATACGATGGTGCTATCATCCCCGATGATCTGGGGAATGCAATCAACTTGCAAGCCCTTTCGCCGAACAACCTTCGAATAAATGATCCCATACTGCTTCAGCTTTTTAAGGGCCTAACACAGGCCAAGAAAGTTGAAAGACGAAGGATCGATGACCGCATCGTCATGACTCTCACCGGAGTCACTAGAGAACTGATACAAGACTCATATTTCGTTGCCCGTGATGTTGCTCATCTTCTTGAAAGAGACAATGACATAATAAGGGCAATGGAGGTATGCCGTCTTGCCAAAAGCGAAGGGTCTGTGGGAATAAATGAGATTCTTGATTGGTGCCTCAAAAGATCGAAGAAGGAATTGGCTAAAAAGGTCCTAGTAACCAGAGGTAAATGGGGTATTCCACTTACACCTGCTACCTATGTAACATATTTCAGTGGCCTTTCTGACTGTCATGAGTGGGGCCTGGTGAGCGAAAACTTAGCAAAAGAAGTAATGAAACAATTTGAAGGGAGTGCAATTGGTGCTAGCATCGAAACATTCAATGCTGCTTTAAAACTCATTATCAAAAACTACAATAATGATCAAGCTCTTGCATGGGAATTTCTTGATTTATTAAGCGTCATGAAACTTCGTCCTGATGCTCATACATTTACTATATTCCTACAGGGCTTACGAATTTACTATCGGGATAGTATTGAGTCAATTAAGAAAGACTCGAAAATTCTGCAGCATCAAAGATTACAACGGTTGTTTGAAAAAGAGGCAATCTTGATTCTGCAAGCAAATTCGATTTTGGAGAAAGCTATGATTCTTGCCACTCCTCCTACTCCGCCAAGTGCTGATGAAATCGATAAAAATCCCGAATCCTTGCAACATTATAAGAAACAAATCCGCTTCCCTAGCTTGGATATTGACCGACACTTCGCGGTCGCCTTTCTCCTGTGCTACTGCAATCCTTTGGCAGGAACTTCTTGGGCCAATAACAGCGGTTCCCACTATTGGTATATTCAACAATCTCTTGCCTATCTTCAAGCTTGGATTCCTGAAATTGACAGCATGGTGGAATTTTTGGCATCATCAAAGAAGAGTGGTCAGGAAAAAAAATACGTACACTTGGAACATATGAACACGTTGAAACCAAATCCTATTATTGTGCGTAAGACTGATGCAAGAGTTGAAAAAGCGGAGATTTCTCAAGATTTTTTACCGCAAAATGTTGCAAAAGCTAAAACCAGGAAAGAAATGAACCCATGGTTGCCCTTCCCCCCACCTCCATTCACTAACCCCCATCATGCTACTTTCCGCACTGGCATTGAGAAGCAATTGATAGATTTCGCGAGAGTGAAGGCTGGCGATATGCACAAAGAATTTGTTCAGTACAAACAGTCGCGGCAAAGAAATCATAGAGGGAGAGCTGTGGCGATCAAAAAAAAGAGCATCCATAAAAGAGATAAACAGAGCGTCAACAAGTTTTTGTTGCGCATATTTTTTGACTGTATTTTGAGACTTGGGCTTTATGAAGAATTTTACAAAGCAATGTGGCTCTCAATTCTGACCTGGGCAGACATAAAGGTGGACAATGGGAAACTTCGTGAATTCACCCTCCTGTCATCAAAGATCATGTCTGCAGAGTCTTATCCTGTGATTGATTCATTGAGGGCTAGAAACGATCATATCCGGTCTTCTATCCTGAATGCTCTGCTCGATGTTATTGATATTGGGCTTGTGGAAGACTTCATTCACAAAATTGAGGAACACTTTCCTCTCTCACATAATCCGACTTCCTTGGTTATCGAATTGTTGGCAGTTTTTAGTAATCGCGAGTTGAACAAAGAACAAAAATTGTGTCCAAGGCCAGCCACATTCAATGCAGTATTTTCCATGCTCAACCGGGACATGTATCGTTATGGTGACCGTAATGTGGCTATGGGATACCAAGAGAGTAGGAAGGAAAACCTGATGAATAATACTCACAAAAAGTCGATGACATTTTCGCAACTCAATGAACTTTTGGATTCACTTGATATCCTTGTGCGAAGCATATTCTCTATTTATGGAGGCTCTAGCATGGAAAGTCGGTTCTTGCAGTCGTATGAAAATTTGGTGCTGAAAATTTACATGTCTACGTGGGATGATATTCCAGATGACCATGTGAATTCAATCATCATACACAAAAAACTCATTAGATCCGGGATCTTGATGTATAGGCCGGATCACCTCGTCGACCGGCGTGAGAATCATGTCTACTCAAGATTGATAAAGAAGTCCATGAACTTTGTTCACGAAAAGTTAAAAGAAAAAACAGACCTTCTGAAAGACGATGTGGACTTGATGATGTGTCTTCGAAACTTAGCAACCATCGAGAGACACAAAAAGAATACCGTGTCGGAATTTGAAGCCTCTCAGATGAGGCTCTACCAACTCACTGGCAACCCTCGTATTGATGTGAAGGCACAAGCCAGTCAAAGGACCAAAGAGTGATACATGTGCGAAATCGGTCTTAAGATACAAGGCAGAACTATTTGAAAGTCCGAAATTTTGAATAGCAATTTGCATTAAAGAATTCTAAAAAGCTGTGTCTGTGATTTTCAACTGGGTTTTGTTCGAGTCCTCTGCGCAAACTGTATATATTTGGTAGGATTCGAACAGGTATCCCCAATTAGAAGTCTGAGTATGTAATCACAGTTCATTTTGTTCTTTCATGACTTGAGCTGCAGCCCTTTATTTAAGTTTCACATGACTTCGTCACATAAACGAAAATTATTCCGCTACGGAACACGAAAGCAAATATCGTGCCAAGCTTTACTCTGGTGATGTTAAATGAGGGAACAGCAATATACCCCATGTTAAATTCAATTATTTAGGAAACAATAAATCCTTTTGTAAAAGTATTAGCTTGCGAGAGGACATCAACCCGAGTTTGATTGTAATAAATTTGAAGCTCCAGATAGGCCAAATTATATTTCTATTTTGCGGGGGCTATCAATATTTTCTCGAAACCGATATACTTCATGCAGTGCTGTTTCTCCTACTTTCCTGCATTGACAAGATCCAAGTGAATACAACTGCTCACTAACTAGTTTTTGACCATGACAACCTCAATCTTTGTTTTAGCTCTGCCCCAACTTTATAACTACCATGATTTCTTCGAGCAAGCAATAGAAAAGCTTCCGCTCTCTGTGAGCGGTGTTGATGTTATTGTAACTTCGAAATTCGAGGACGCTGTACAGCTCAGTAGAGTTCTTCTGGTGTTGTACACACAGATTAGAAAAACCCTATTGAATTCGAAATTTACGTTTGAATTTGGCATCAATATTTACCCAAATGACCTTTACATATGTCCTGTCAAAAATTATGAAGTTTTTCATGTCCAGGGTGAGCAGGTTCCAGAATGTCTTGGTCGGTTAAGCCTCATAGGTTTGAAAGTACTTTTATCCCCTATTCATGCTAGACATGTGGAATTGTCTACAGAATCAAAGCTATACTCAGCTGAAACGGTTGCCGTTGGAGGCACATTTGATCATTTACATGACGGTCACAAAATTTTATTGCTGGTGGCAGCCCTCACAGCCAGGGCGCGAGTAATCGTAGGCATCACAGGGCCCGAGCTTCTTCGAAACAAGAAATACTCTTCCAAACTCGAGTCACTCGAAATTCGAATTTCAAAAACTCGACAATTTTTGAAACGATTATTGCGGGGCGGCCAAAGGTATGAATTCTATCAGATAAGTGACGTGTGTGGGCCCACTGGATTTATTCCTGATATTGATGCTTTAGTAATAAGCGAGGAGACCATTGAAGGAGCTGGTTTTGTAAATTCTCGACGGGCTGAATTAAGATTTGCGCCTCTAAAAGTTGTATGTGTGGAAGTCATCGGTGGCAAAAGTTCTCCCAGTGAAAAGTGGGAAACAAAGTTAAGTTCCACCCAGTTGCGCAAAATTGAGTTTGAAAAGACTAATTTGTGAAAGGAATTAATAAAGGATATTTATATTGAGTATATGTACAAACAGCGTAATCTTCTCAAAAAATTTGTAAATGTTATCCAATGGATATACCTTTATCGAGTGGGTTGGACCGCTTCGGGTCTCGATCACGGTGATCAAGAGCGAGGGAAACATGTGACTCAAATTTTGAAATTTCATCAAGTAGATTAAACCCAGGTTTATCAACGTCAAGGTATCGACCTTTATCATCGAGGTCTGCTAAAGCAATTCTAATTTTCTCGAAGGCCAGGATTCCAAGCCCAAGCTTATTTCGCAATCTTTCTTTTGTTTGCTCGAAAGGCTCATCGGGAAAGGCTGCAAACACAAACGGTTTACCATGCGTGTAAGTCGTTGACTTGTGAAAGTGGAACACAGGTATAATATTCAACACATTTGAGTACTTCTGCGCTTTTTCAAACTCACCTCTGATAATCGGATCGGAAATCTCGTGTCCATCGTGTGACTCGGGCTCTGCGTACCTTTTGAACATATCATGGCACACTAAAATTTCCACCTCTGCCGGAAAGTATCCGCAATAAATTTCAAAATCATCCTTCAAATCATCAATAGGTCTGTCGAATTTTACAAGATCAACATACTTGTGGTCTTTCCCGGTCCAAACAAGCAACCCACTCAATTTCTCCTGTGGCAAGTCGATCTTTTGAGTTAATTTTTGTATCAAATCTGACACAGGACTAGTTTTCGGTACCAACAAGTCATACACGTGATCTTGATATATGCTTTCAAGCCAATGAATCTTGATTGCTTTCATATTTTCATATTCTTTCAACGTGATGTTTAGAATTTCAAATTCAAACTGTGATACTGTTGATACCGCAACCTGTCGGGGGAAGATTTGGGATAGTGACATTGTTGATAATAACGGGAGCCTCTCACCGTGATCATGTGTGACAAAAAGTCGCAAATATTTTGGATCCACATGAGAACCAATGTTGCAGGCAATTCTTGCAGCAAGTTCTTCATAGGTATATGTTGTGGAGACCCACAAATCAAAGGACTTGCTTAGCTCTCTAGCAAGTTTTAGCTCTTTTGCTTCTGCTGAGTCAGCATTCAAATTTTCAGTACTTTGAAAAATACCATCATCTGCGACATAGTCACTGTCCTCGTCCTCTTCGCTTACCTTACAAGGCTTGACTTGAATATGAAGCCTCGTCAACATAAACTTATAGTACTTCTGTAAACTGCCTAGCCCGCAGGCTGATTGAAAATCGTTGCGGTCAGCTAGCTGAATAGCCAAAATGTCGCCCGATCCTAATTCGCTCTTCTCAAGAGCTAGACTTTGATCGATTGGTTCAATTCTTGTCCGTGAGACTTCCTCATAGAATTCCAAAGGAGTCGACACATCAAATCCGAGAAATTCATTTATGAGATTTTTTATCAGGGAAAGTACCATATTTTTGCTCAATAAAACAAAGGTAAGCCCCCTTAATGTATCAGAGATAGGGTCAAAGTATTTCAAAAACAAAGTCATTGAATTGTCGACCGATGCTTCAGTCAAATTCAGAACATTTTCTGTAACTTTTGAAGATACGTTATCAAAATTGAATCGCTCGGCTGTTATGAAATTATCTTCATTCTTTATCTGCCTCATCTCTTTTTGGTTCTCACGAACGAAGAACGTTAGTTCGTCATGACTTTTCCTGAAATACCTCGTAAAGACCTGGCTGACAGTTTCATTCAGACATTCTTTTGGGATAATGATATCGGGTCTGATAGTTTTGTTGTTTCTTTGTTTCATGATCATTAAGGAGAAAGGATACGCAAAATTATCCATTGCTTCGTCTTCTATCATGGAGCTTGCATTATCTTCATCGAGCCCCACAGCATCTTCATTGAATCTTTCAACATACCCTAGTTTATAAGCGATAAGTTTGTACACATGCGAAAATTTTGCATCTTTTCTGACTTTCATTGTAATTGGGTATGCCCTTGCATCAAAAATCTGGTTGTCATATTCTTTCGTCTTGGTGGGATCTGGACAGATATCAAAGCCATTGAAGTATGCAAAGTTTTCAGCCGTTACCATTTTCACGTTCAAATAGTATAAAGCGTCTTGCTTTGCCTTCTCTAATGATGCCAATTCCTCGCGTTCTTTCTCTATCTGTCCCGAGACGTGCTCTGGGACAGTCGCCAGCGAATCGGGCAATATGTCTGAAAGCTGTCCCTCTCGATAGTACACAAGCATGTAAGCAGATGTGGCTTTTCGAATCAAATGCTCGTTTTGCTCCATCCTCGAAAGTGATTTTACTTGCTGTGGAGATAAGTCCGCAGCACCAAAGTTCTCTTTGAAGACTTCACTGGGTGTCACTTTCCAAACTTTGTCGTCATCAAAGCGTAACCAGGTGTTTTTTTCGCTTTCAGGCTTTATCATGGCGTAATAATGCCCGTTTGAAATACTTCCCTGATGAACAAGAACTCCATGTAATTTATAATTCCAATTCTGGGACTTCACGTCTTCATCTAAATCTTCATCAAGGTAGGGGCGGAGGTCGATTTTGTCGGGGAATTCATAAAAATCATCGATTTTCACTAAGTCGTCAACCATGAAGTCATATTCGAATCTCTTAAGCTGCAAATGAAGGACTGGGGGAAAAGACTCAAAAACAACACCTTTTTTTGCATCTTGGTATCCATATTCTTCTCCTGCTTGATACTTATTCTCGCCATCTAACATTTCAATATCAATGTAATTTCTAAAAGATTCCAGTAAATTCCGGAGGCCTTTCACATTGAGTTGAATGTCCCAAAAATCTTCAATTCTGGAAGATTCATACGGAACGTTAACACACTTAATAAATGACTTCATCCGACCAACAAATATGTCATTCAATCTGTTTTCAATATGCGATCCTTTCATTGCGGATTCCAATTTGTCCATCAAAACACGATTCAATTCCTGAACGTCATGCTGAGTGAAAGCTTCACTGGAATCCCAACCAAAAGATCTTGTGAGTTCCATAGTCCCCACAGGTTGGTCAGATGACTCCATAAGATAAAAAATTCTTTGAAGCGCCAAGGCAACCGCCTTGCTATTTTTATTCGAAGTCTTAGCTGTTGTCTGCTCCTGAGTCGGAATTTGACATACTAAGTTTCGGAATTTTTTTGTGGTGAAATATGACTGCAAAAGCGAATTAAGATAGCATGTGGCACCTTGATTATTCAAGCCAACAAAACCAGTGCTTAACTTTGAGTCATAATTTACAAAATTGGACCATAAGACACCAGTAGAAGTATCGTCGAGAACTCGCACAAATGCTGTGATGTTGATCTGGTTGTTTTCTAAGATTGCGTGTGGCTGGCCCACTTTCAATGGATCTGCCAAGTCTCTTGACGAAATGAATGAAGAGAACCCCCAATCAGTTTCATTTTTGTTAAACCTGTGACTGGAGCCAGATGGGTAATGGGAAGAGGGATGTAAGGGGTTCCATATATCAAGAGCAAATTGAGCACAAACATACCAATCAGAATTCAGTTTCTCGCTGTCATCGGCTGGGGGATGTGGTTCCAAGTATAGCGATACCGCATCTGCATTTCCTCTCGGAAACAACAAAACGTTCCAATAATAACCGCCGCAATTGAAAAGAGGGCTCACTAATTTGTTTTCTTTCCGCGCAGCAGACCAATCCTGAATTTCCCATACAAAGTGCGTGGAGTCTTTCACAGGATAATCCGGCAACTTTTTCATCATTCGCCTCCCTAACTTCTCGTATTCGTTGGCATGTGGATATACTTCAGATCCTGAACTTTCTGGGTGCATTCTGAAAGCTTCATCCTCGCTATAATCTCCACTCAGTCGGTGATCCATGTTTTCTATATCTGACGATCCAGAATCATATGCGTCCGAAACTTCAGTTGCAACTAAATTGAGTTCTTCAATTTCATCAGCTTTTTCGAGAAGATTCAAGTCTTCTTCCATCACAACTTGGGGCTCTACATTTCCAAGCATCGCGTCAGTTTTCTCTTTTTTGTATCCTTCTGCTGACATAGTGGCTATATTTTTCACTCACGTTTCTGAAATAGCTTAAAACCAACAAAAACAGAATGAAGACAAGAAGTTTTATCAGTAGCAGTGGCTGACTTTCTCCTTGGTATCAAAATTGAGGCCTGTAATCAAAGCTTAATGGAGCCACTGGAATGAAACTGAGTTTGATTGGTCAAATAATGATTTGCCGAGTAATATAGATCCCTCTATAATGTGCTATTCACGCCAATTGATCTTTTTTTGTTTATATTTCAAAGTTTTATGTTCTCGAATGACTGCTAGGACAGATGAACGATCACCGCAAGAGTGTTGCGGTGACGTAGGGATATGATTAAGGTACGTGATCTGCGATTTAGTCACGTGATTTGTATGAGAGTGTAAGGACGAGTTTAGTATTATAAATCACGTGACAATCTAGTTCAAACACCACTAAAAAGTCGTCATGTTGATCTGCTGCCACATAGATACCAGGCAAGATATCATGTCACATTACGGATTTTTCCCTCGGCAGGGTTTTGATACACTATGAGCTTAGACAAGATATTCACAAGATGATACTGGTAGAGCCCCACAAATGGCAGTGATATAAAGTCCTATGTCTATGAGATGATGAATGAGTTGGTGTGATTATCTCACCTCTTGTTTATTCCTTTTTAGCAAATGCCGAAGCTTCACAAAATTGTTGTTTCTTAAAGCTGATCCCCTAAAAGGGACGTGGATAGGATGCTAGTATTTACTCGCGCGCGGGAATAAAATTATCATCTCAAACTGGTGTGCGACATGAAGGGGCGAAGAGTACCATTTGTCGACAAGTTTTTTTTTTTGACCCATAGAGGAAATGGCGAGTGCAGGCACACAATAAAAATTTTTGCACATCAAGCATGGTCAACCTTGGCATGTACCAAACTATAATAAAATCCTCGACTTTCTTCCTATAGCTGGATATGCAATATGCTTCCAAAATGTTCTAAATGAGTCTCATGTATGAGAGAAATTGGTCAATAACGAAATGCAATGATGAAGCTTTATGGTCCGAGTGTACCGTTCTGTACACACACTCCCCCAAGGCGTTCTAGACATGCGTTTTGCATATGTTCTCCAGACAGATATCAATCTCATCGACCAAGTTCGTCTTTCCACGGAAGAAATTAGTTCGGCAATCTATCGTTGGTTTATTCTCTATATGTGATTTTCGATGATATATTTAAGTTTTCAAAACTCAGTAATTCTAGACTGAAAGTTAATTTTCAAGGGTAAATAATAGACTTTCAGTGCGCAATTGGGGCTTAGTTCAAAATACCCTTCAGAAGGGGGACTGCCAAGTTTGGTGCACAAGAAAGTGGATAATCCCTCACGGTGTCAGTGTTTTATTTTGCTTCCAACAAGATTTTTTTCCGTACCATTTCGACAAGTAGGGGCACTGCAGCTGGACTCAAGAAATAGGCTAAGGAAGTTGTTCAGTTCGATAACAAATTTCTTACCACACAAGCGGCGTATACCAATTATACAAAAGCTACATTCGGCTGTAGTATAATCAAACCTGCCCGTATATACATTCACGATTTCACAGCTAAGTTCGAGCCGAAACCTTATGCTTTGACCCTCAACAGCCGAAATATAAACATGCCCCTTAGAGTTGGATGTTTGCCCAGTGACAACATAACTCACAGGCTGACTTTTTTCTGATCCCTCGTGAGTCCGACTTATCGCATCAGGCTACAATATGAAAATTAAGATGAAATACCACTGGAACCAAACGAAACACGCGTCATTGGTAATAGCACAAATATTACTATCATCACTCTCATGCGACTCTTCCAGCCCCCTTCGACTCATGGTCTAGGCGTCGGCCATATCCGCAGCTCAAATTTTTAAGCGCGCCACGTGAAATAGTACTGTACATTTCACTACGACTGGTATAAAGCAGGCTCACCCCGTCGCCGACTCAGCGCGCTCTAATTTTTTGGATCAAGGTTGAGTATTTTCTATAGTCGTTCCTTTCACATTCTTTTATAAACACTTCTACCAGTGTTATTGATTTTTTAGGAATTACACAACCTCATTCGCTTCTCTCGTTTTTGAACAATTGCAGTTTCAATGTTGTTCAATACCCTTGTCAAAGTTGCGCTTGTGGCCACTGCTTTTGCTCAGCCTGTGCAGCACCAACACCATCAACATGAGAAGAAAGACGTGGTCACTCACACTGTCATTGTTACTGTTAATGGTGATGCTGCCGACTCTGCTGAAACTTTAATCCCAGAAGTCCCTGATGTTGTCACTTCGTTGATTGCATCCAGCGTCACTCCATCTGCAGCTTCCGCTACCCCTGCAAGCTCAACTTCTTCCACGTCAGTTTCCTCTTCTTCGAGCTCTTTTTCTGCTGATGTCAAAGGTATCACATATTCCCCCTACACTGATGCCGGTGGATGTAAGACTAAGGAACAAATCGCCGCAGAATTCGAGGCTCTTACTGGATACGAGATCATCAGACTTTATGGTGTTGACTGTAGTCAAGTTGAATATGTCTTGGCTGCTATGTCTTCAAGCCAAAAGCTTTTTGCTGGAATCTACGATATGACGAGCATCTCCGATGATGTTGCGACATTGGCTGCTGCAGTTGAAGCTGCGAATGGTTGGGACCAAGTTTATACCGTTTCCATTGGAAATGAGTTGGTCAACTCCGGCGAGGCTACCGCTTCGCAAGTCAAAGAGTATGTTGCTGAGGGCAGAACCGCATTAACTAATGCAGGTTATACTGGCCCGGTCGTCTCTGTGGACACTTTCATTGCAATTTACAATAATATTGACTTGTGTGACATTTCCGACTACGTTGCTGCAAACGCCCACGCTTATTTCGATGGTGGATATGCCGCTGCTGATGCAGGAACTTGGGTTTACAATCAATACACCGGTCTTCAGAAATTTTGTTCCGGCAAAGAAGTGTTCATTGTTGAATCTGGTTGGCCAACTGCCGGTGACACTAACGGTGACGCCATTGCTGGAACATCTGAGCAGGCTGCTGCCCTCTCTGATATCGCTGACAAGGTAGGTGATCACGTTCTCTACTTCAATGCTTACAATGATGGGTGGAAGGATCCAGGCTACCTTAGCTGTGAGCAATATTGGGGTATCTTCTCTTCGTAAGCTGTGTTTCGGCTCAAACTCTCTTCACTTAGGACTTCTGTTATCTGTTCTGGGATTTTAAGTTTTGTATTTCTATGTTGTTTTTCAGTTAAAGATCTTGCTTGAAGGGAAAAACTTGACTGTAGATTTGCTTCGAGTACCATTGGCATTGAAGCTAATTTCCGAAGCCGTATACCGGTGGAGGTTATCCGTGAGCCGAAGATTCGAAGAACAATGTACTAAACCTGTTCAGGTTATGATCTGATTTTCGCTATATGAGATTTCCTCATCTGATAACTTTCACTGAAGTGCACGTCGTATCATCTACAGTGCAAATCTAAATGTAAGTAAGCATGAGACAAGAAAATGCGAGCAATCTTATTCCTGATCATGGCAGCCCACACGTTTCATTATCCACTCAATCTTCGAGACCCAAGAACACGCGGCGCTGATTAATGTCTGCTTCCTTCATATGCCTAAGGCTTTCCATTTCACCTCGCATCAATGCTTCATCTGCTTCAGGTGTCCAAAACCCTACTCCATCGTGAAGGTAAAGTATTTCTTGCATGTCATTGGTCTTTTCATTCTCTAGCAACGTCAATACTTGCCCAAAGTATCTTATCATAGGCAATGCAGATCCACTTGTGACACGAAAAACGTGACCCACAAATTTCTTAGTGAAACCAAAGCTTTGGAGTGTTTCCGAGATTTTCTCCAAAGTCATTGTTCCATGTCCTGTTAAGCATTCCTTCAATTTGGTCATTATTTGCTCTGACTTTTGCCTGTAAAATTGGTCAGAAAATAAGTCATTGAGGGTGACATTACTTGGCATATATTGGTAGCCACGTGAGTATTCTTGAGACATAGACTGTCTCAAACTCAAGTCGATAGCCTCGACGTCAGCATCAACGCCCCCACTTGTGAGATCTGGGTGAATAGCACTCATATCTCCGGCATCAATCGAGCGAAGCATGCTGTCGATGTTTGAGTTTTTTACGGCTCCAATTTCCTCATCCAAAGCATCTGTTTCTCGCGATGTCATGCCCATTTCAGAATCAATGTGATGGTCTAAATGCGACAATTGTGTAGAATGGTGTCCATCTAACATTGGAAAACCGCCCAAAACCGCAACTGCAGCTGCTGCAGTATCCCCCATCTCAGTACTTCTTGCGGATTTTCTAGAGCTGGTTTTTAGTTTAGTCTCTTTTGCCTGTTTTGTCCCACTCTTGTTTTGGCTCTTATCGCGGTCCTTGCGCGATGTCATATTTTTCATTGGCTTTGGGCCTTCCTTAGTATTCAAATCCCGGATGTACTCATCCCGATATCTTTGCAAACCATGCGGTCTGGCAAACTTTCTGTATCTGTCTCTCCAACTAGATGATGAGTGCTGCGGGAATCGTCTTGCATACTCATCAAAAAATGCTATCAGTACACTAAACTTGTCTTCGTCAAGAGTGCCGTTGGCTGCATGGTTGTTTTGAATCCCTGCTACGTGTGTGATCACATCTTCACATAAGTGAAAGTCGTCTTCGGCAGTAAACTTATTTTTCATCGTCTTTGCCTGGGAAACCTCAACTGCAATCTTCTGGCCATTTTCATCGAGAATCAAATTGTCATAATTGTCTGTCTTGAACACATATTGGAGTTTATGCTCCAAGTGAGCCCGGTATCTACTTCTCACAGAATTTCCGGTATGCCCTTTCAAGGTGTCATGCTTTGCCAACTCCTCAAAAAACTTATGTGACGTCCTTAGTCTTGGTCTCATTCTTACTTGTTCCAAAATGTAGGCATCCGCCTCTGGTGTGAATTTTGTGGTATTCTTTGTCAGTTTGTCCCGTGGCCTCTTGACTCCGGGCTCAGTTGAAGAGGACGAGTTTGAAACATCAATCGCGTGTAATCCTTCCTCGTCATATGATGAATTACGTCTTTTACTCAGCAGAAATCTATACCTTTCCAAAATTTGTTGCGTATTATTTCTAATTGAGTGGTCCACATACAAGAGCAGGTATGTTGGTCTGTCAGGCCAAGGGGTACTACTCAAGTGGTGTGCAGATGTATTGTTATGGTCAGCAGTTATTTGCCCACCATTGTCTTGAATGACACGGCAATAGTGTTCATAATTGGGCTCCAGGGGATCGATATATAACAAATGAGGAAACAAGTTGCTCAGTAAGCTGTGAGGCACAAGATCTCTATTTGTTATAATTTGGTGATCTTGAGTCATGCGGGTAGATCGTTGGATGTTTGGGTGTTTAGGGTGTTGTGGTGTTTGATCGAGGTGTCGAGGTGTTTAGGCTGTATTATTTTTGTGGTGAGGGATGGGCGTACATGAGCGAAAAAATATACGCATAAATTGCGTATATTTGATACCGTGTGCGGTTCTCGATATGTGCAAGTCATGGTTAAGCAGTAGTCGAGCCTCGCGTAAGTCCACAAGTGTCTGAATATATGCTTCTATATTGTCTGGAATTATCTCATCAATCAATCAGAGTTTTCATGATGGAGTGACTAAAAGAGGCTAGTATAATATTCTTTAGAAAGTGGCTGAGAACTCAACATTTCACGCTCACAACGTTCTCTTTATATACTAGACCTCCATTTATAGACTTCTCCTGCCAAATAAGCATAGCGGATAGAGCGCCGCCCTTCGCGCATCCCGTGTCCATTCCCTTGGCCCATCGCTTTATATTCAAACCTCTGTGTGCGTCATGCCCATAGTATACCACGTAATCGTCTTCCGAAATGCCCTCTTTGTGTTTTAAGTTCCAGATTTTCGACCATGAAATGGCGTTTTCTTTGCCAGAATCATCGGTGGTCTCGTTGAAATGCGGACCAATATAGGCCCTCATCTCTAAACACCCTAGAGGATCTTGTTCTTCTAAACTTTGTGTCAAGTCCCAACGCAACCCCGCATGAACAGCTAAGCCCTGTCCTGACCTGCCTTTTCCATTATTATGGCTTGAGTGTAGCGGTACATGGCCCATTAACATCATTACAGGGCACAGATTTATGTACTTGACGTGTTGAGGTTGTAATTTCTTGGCGAGTAAGAACTCGGGGTCATCATTAAAATTTGACTCGGTATCAAGGGACATTGATTTTCTCGTTGAGTCTCCTTTGAAGAAACCCCTTTCAAATGAAGGGGCTGTCAAACCGTGAAAAGCTGCGTACCGTTGCAAGACATAGTACTCGTGATTTCCAAGAATACATTTTGCCCCTAGTTCAATAAGGTCGTCGATCACCTCAAGTGAACGAGGGCCTTTGGAGATAAAATCTCCCAAAACGAGGAGAGTATCAGATTTCTTGTTGAACGAGATCTTCTTAAGTAATTTATGTAACTCTTTCTGTTGTCCGTGAATATCCCCCACGACAATAAGTCTGTCTTTCTTCGTCCCTTTGCCTCCTTCAAAACCTTTTACACCCGAATCTGCTAGACCGCTTGTGATTTCTTCAAGATATTCAATGTCCGCATGCCCTGAATCGTGGTCTAGCTCATCGAATGATGTCCACGGTAACGCTACTTTACTCAGCACGGGATTTAAAATGATGTCCAATGATTTCAACTGAGCGATTTCATGAATATCACAGGGTTTTGGGATAAACATCAGGGGTAGCAAGAAACATAGACAATATAAGATGATACCACTGGTAACAATACACCCTGCGAGAAGCAAATGTTTGTGTCTCTTCGTAAGATGCGAGTCCCCAAAAAATGACGTGGCGTCTTCATGAGAGTCGACTGCGTGATAACTCATAGTAAGCCTCTTATTTGATTCTTTCTGTTAATATCTTTAAAATGATTTCTCCAGGGTTATGTAAGCGAGAGTGTCTTTCCAGCACAGACCCTCCGGATTCTGCATTTAATTTATTCATGATGGTATTCCTGCATGTATGGTTTAAGTGTAATTGCAACGTGGTCTAGCGCAAATGCATGTTTTCCATTCGCAGACTTCCTGATTACTATTTTTTGTTCTGTTTAATTCTTTTGAAACGAGGAACAGTGATTCAATGGGCTTTTGAAAAGCTTTTAAATACGTGCGTGACTTTTCACAACAATTCGCTAAATTAATTAAATTAAGCCCCACGCGGGACCACAAGAAAGGGACCACTTGGTTATACATCAAAGTTGGAAAAAAGAATGGTTTAAATGGACTTAGGCTTATTTATAAAGACAATCATGTTTCCTGTAGTATTTTCACCCTCCTCCTGTACCTTCCGGACGTTCAACCTCTTTTTGCACTACTGTCTTCCGAGAGAGGAGTTGACGTAAATCTGGGTTAATCTTAACGACTTGAGTGCTCTCAAAGCTTTCAGGATTTCCAGTCTCTCGATCAATGAGATCAACCATTCTCCTAAAACGCAAGAATAAAAGCTCTGCGCGCACCAACAAATCGTGAAGATTCATTCTGCCCAGAAGATCATTCATGTATTTTAAGACCTCATCAAACCTTTGCAAATTCTGTTTCATGATTCTCTCGTTATCACTGAGCACCGCCAATGCCAAAAAGAGTTGATATTGGCTTGAATACATGTCTGTCCAAAAAACCTCCCAAAGAGTATTCACGTCTTCCCATTCGAACTCGCGCTTGTACCATACTAACAACATTCGAAAAAAGAAGAAGAGGTCCGTAGACTCACATTTTTCCAAGTGATGGAATAAATTAGGGAGCATAAATTGAACAAGCTCGTTAAGAACAAGCATTTGCTTTTTCATCCCACTTTGGTCACGTACAAAATTTCGCTCCATCCTCTCCATGAATCCTGCGAATGCCCAAAATGTCACTACTTCATCCTGGAAGACAACATAAATGGGGGAGAGTAAATCCGTCATACCCTGAACATAACCCAATTTTGTGTTATATTCATTGAAGGTCAACAAAATTTCTCTCATTCTGAACAAATTAACATTTTCGATATTCGCCAAATCCCAACTTGTGTCCTCATTTGGGGTTTCAGGAGAAGAATTTTGGGATGAACGGCTCAGTGGTGCCGTGGAAGAGACCTTCTTATGATCTTTGAAAATTTCCAAATGACGATCATTCCTATGAATGTCCTTCTCAATTCGGACCTTTTGATCCCTCCAAAAATCAGAGTTACGCTTTGCATCATCTTCAGACCATCTCCTTTTGAAGTCACAGTAGCTGTATTGAAGGCTTTGCTTTGTAGCTTCACGATCTTGCTTCGAGGAATCCCACGCATACACTCCGAGCAAAAAAGGCCACGCTTCCTTCCTTGCTTCATTCTCTAACCCTCCATGAAAGATCCTTTCCTTCACCTCTTCAGTGGTAAGAATTAGTCTTCCTTCATGATCAAAAAAGCCGTTCCACTCCACTAGACTGATCCTCTTTCTCCGCAGAGCATTGCTGATTTCTAAAGGAGTCAAAAGATGGCTATCGTCGCCTAGCTCGCTATTTATTCGAGCATAAACGGCATCCTCTAGCATAAATTTCCGTTGGGATTGCTCGGCTTCTTCCTTCACTTGTGCAGCCCACTTTGCCAAATAAACACGAGCACTGTCAAAATCGTTGCTTATGTGTTGCACTTCGGGTTTGTTGAGAATCAGTTTCAAAACTCCCTCTGGCACGCGATCGTCAATCAAATCAACGACGTGGTTTTTGGTCCGCAGTCCGAATGTAGCCACCGTTTCCAATACTTTCCATTTTGCAGTGGCGATCATTTTATTGATATCAGGCAATTTGTAAGGTGAGTCTTTTGATTTTGTGTCCTGCTGACCCACATTGTGATTCTGACCAAAGGGTGAGAAATTAGTTAAGTCTTCTGATGAAGGGTCAATTAAGTAAACTGATGGCTCTACCGTCGACCTGTCGACTGAAATAATTTGCTGAATTGTACCAAGAAAATCTTGACCCCCCCAGTATATGGATCCATCTTCTCCAAAAGGATCAAAAGACTGATTTTTTAATTTCTGTCTCCTAATAGTCAGTGGAGACTCGTCATCATGGAAGAAAATTATGGGAAATTTATCTTTTGACTTACTGTGAATGATGATAGACCCGTACCACCAACCCAAAGAGGGGGTTCGAAATTGAATCAGGTAAATTTGGAAGAGATTGATGCAGAACCCAGCCGGATAATCCACCGATACCAATGGTTTCCTGACTGGATGTGGGGTTGATGAAACCTTTGTCGACGTATTTCTCGAACTTACGCCATCAGACAATTGACCTTCACCCTCGAAGATGTCGGTATTTAATTCAACAGATCTGTAGACTTCCAGTTCTTCTTTGGAAAGCATGTGCTCTGGCGTGAAACTTAACAAAATGTCCTTATTTGTTACATTCGGCGCTTCAGGTTTACTGAGGGACAAAAAGCCTGGAATATTATCTCTCTTCGACGTCGTGGGGTGAATATAGGTTTTTGACTTCACGTATAATAGTTCCATTTTACTAGGCAAGGAGTCGAGTTGTTCAGACATTATGATTTTGACCTTTTCTCTGAACTGATCCCGAGGTAAAGCTTGCAGGTTTCCGTCTGAAGAATTCACTGCAAGACTGTGGCTTAATTTGTCCTTTTGCTGAGTAGATAGGGCGTCGTCTTCTCTGTTGAAATAGTACAGATTTCTTGAATTGGTTTCCTTTTAACACCAAACTCTAGTGAAATGTGTTTTAAGTCCTTTCAAACCTCGGAAGAGACAAAAAAAATTGTGGAACCACCTCAAATTTACTCGTAGGGGTCACAGCTGATCCGCGCGGGTCTCAGCCTCACTTCTGAGAAGTCCCCAGCCGAAGTCTGTTTTTGGATGTAGCTCGCAATATACCACACAGGCCCGCCCACCATACTTTTTTTATCCAAGAGACATGAGATTCTGTTGGTGCGTATGGAGCGGTGTATGCGGTGAATTTGCATGAAAAAATCTTGTGATTCCAGAAAGATGACAATCCCGGCATGTGTGGGATTGTGTGATTTGAGTTTAAAAATTATTGCTGGAGGAATGTGATTCCCCCTGCAGGTCCTTCTCCGCGGATATGCATGGTCACGAAGACCTGTCTGAACTTCTTACACCCCGAAAAGACTCCGAGCCCGACACTGAAATCTTGCACCATAGGCCCTTGTCCAATGCGACACTATCAATCTTTCAGCTATAATTGATATACTTTCATATTCACATAGACTCCCCCTCTGACTGAGAGCTCTCAAGCTGAACACTTTATCATTAGACGTTTCGTAAATGTACCAGCCCCATATACACTCTTCCCATCAAATTCCTGATCCAGAGCTGCTTCTTCAGCCACAGAATACATGAACAAATGTCGCTCAGTGTACAAGTTCATTATTGTGAATGGTCAGGTAGCGAGATCTCTCTTTTTTTAACAAACATTGTTGATGAAAGTGATAGCGATGTCAACACACTCTGTAGTAACTATAAGACATACAACTGCCTCGCGAATTTCTTTCTAAGCTGACATGAATATTTCACTCAAACACCGATACCCCAGACCACCTTTTAAGAAGGTCTCAATAAAGTTTCTCCAAAACCTCTGGGACTCGTTGGGCTTTGTTGTACATATACCAAGTTCTTCAAAACTGGTTATGACTACGACGAAAATGACAACTATGTGGAAGACGCACATCCCACAAGTGAAACGCACGAATTTGACGACTACCATATGCAAATGGGTAGGCTCAAGTTACATAAGATCAAGCCATACTTTGATTACAATTATGCTTTTTGACGCATCTGATCTGCTTAAGATTCTTTGAGCTACTGGGCCACTTGAACATGAGGATCTTGTGACCTTCTGGATAGAAAATGTGTCGCATTTGCAGAATGATATTATACTTTAAGACAGTTTCCTTTCAGACTAGCCCACTCAACCAGGCGTAGCGAACTGTTGGCATGGCTAAATTTCGATCGTTTTCTTCCTTTATCGTGCATCAAGATGCGAGAGACATCTTGTGGTACGTGAGATCTGAGACTTTCAAAAAAAGTGTCTCGGAGCGTATCCTATAAGAATACATAGAGATGAGCTTCTTGAGAAATATTATTTAGGCCGTGGACATCCGTGAATGTGGGAAAATAAAAGCCAAAATGTGCCAAAATATGCATCATCAAAAGAAGGAATGCAATTTTGTATGAGCGAAGTATTGTGGATGACTGAATGTGTCATATTTTTCGAGCCATTTTCAGAAGATATTGACAACACAAACTTGCGGGAAAACATTTATATTAATGAAATACTCGTGCTACTATTGCCTGATGCGTGCTACGCCTGAAGAGACTAGTGGTACAACTTTCGATAGGACATGGATTTTTCGAGACTCCTCCGAAAAAAGACTTGACGAAGCCATAGGAAACCGTGGCTCTGATCATAAAAGCAAAACCCACATTTTTGCTTTTGTCTAGAATAAATCAGAAGACGTGGCGATCAGAAATTAATATGTTGATCGCTTTTCAGAGAGAAACACGTGTCTAATAGTAGTTTCTTGATTTGAAAAAATCTTTGGAACAATCCTTGCTTCAATTTAGGAAAATCACCCATCTGAACAAAGAATTATACATCAGTATATCTTCGTCCGGAATTATTCACTATATAGACGCACTGCATTCACTTTTGCAAGATCCGAGCTGCTGAACTTTAAATTTCCATACTACGTAAGTGCGTTTAAAATTGATTCAAAGAAATTGCCAGTCTTCATCGTTTATTTATAACTTACAAATACAATGACCCTGCACTGACAATGTCTCTGTGTACCATCTCAGCTGCCTTCTCCATCTTCTGCTCCAATTCGACATTTCCAATTGTTTTTGCCGCGGTGACCATCTGCTTGATCATCTCCTCGAGTCTCTTAAACATACGAATGAGGGACCCCTCATAGACATCAGTCATTTTGCAAATTTGAGTAAAAGAAGCTCCTTTACACCATGCGTGTGTCACTTCCATCAACTCCGGGCGAAACTCCTCCACATATTCCTTCTCTGCGACCTCAAGGTTGCATTCCCTATAAGTTTTGGCAAGCTTCGTGGCCATATCTTGCATTGCTTTCAAAGGTTCTTGCAATTCAGGCTTTAGACGAGGGACCTCCTTGGCCCGTTCCTGGAAAACAAAGCAAGAAAGCAAGGAAGCACATTGTTCAGAGTTCATTTCATTAAATGTACCATTGAAAATAAGCTCTGTGAGCAAGAGTTCATCACCTGTAGAGATTTCACATGCCACCCTACCTTTCAATTCAATGATGTCATTTTGTGTCGTGAATCCAAGTTTTCTCAAGACTCTTTTTCTGTGTTTCAAGTCATCTAGTTGAATTACCGCCTGAGCTTGTAATATCTTCTCCTTCACTTGCCTAATTTGTTCATCGATGCCTACCTTCTGTGAAAATTTCTGGTACAAGTCGTCAATTCGGTCCGATTCGTGAAGAACGTTTGTGGTCATTTTGCTTTCCAAAACATCAATTTTTCTCAATAACATTTTGAAGTCGGAATCATCAATTTTCATACTTTCAACAGGATTCATAAGAGGAATTCCATCTGGTAACTTCTTGGGCAAGTCTTTCAAAGTACGCACCAAGCTTCTTTTGGCGGTGGAGCTCTTGTAATCTTCAGGCATCTTCAACCGTACACTTGAAATCGCAGATATGGAGTCAAGAGTTATTGGAATAAACTCCGCACGAGCCTTTTCTTCTCCATTGGCCGGACGAATACCTTCTGCAAGAACAGGATTGAAAGGTTTGATCAAGTTGACCGGAGAATCCACAAACATAGAGCAGACAAATACCGTCACGATGTACGACTCGTGATCAGAAAAAGTCTGCGATGGACCTCTCTTGTTGCTTCTTTTTGTAAAAGAAGCGACCATTCCCCAACCGTAGTCATGATCTCCGATCCTCACTTCAATGACTCTGCCCGGTTGCAAGAAAGGAAGAATGTGACCAGGATGGGTGATCACACGGCGCACATCTTCTTGGTAAATTTTCAATTGCTTCTTTAAGTCATAGTACTCTTTCACAAGGAACTCATCTTCGATGACGGTATTATTGTATTCAATCGTCAATTGTTGAAGTTCTTTTTCCAACAAAGGAACTGATGCCGCATTTTGAAATTGAAAAAAGGAGCTTTCAAGCATAAATTCTGGCGAAATGCCCTCGACACGCATTAAGTTCAAAATCATATTATAGCCCAAGTGAAATGCAGAGTCAAGCCTATCGGCTTGACCCTTCACCATTCCTTTGGCAACCTGCGGTTCCATTTTTTCGTCGATCATCATTATAACGATACCCCTGTCATCCAAACCTCTACGCCCAGCTCTTCCAGACATCTGAATGTATTCACCGCCAGAGACCCAGCGAAATCCCTTTCCGTCCCATTTCCTCACGGAAGTGAATACAACGGTTTTTGCAGGCATGTTAAGTCCAATGGAGAATGTCTCGGTGGCAAAAAGCACTTTGAGTAAACCCTCCTGAAACAAGATTTCGATAATTTCCTTCAAAATGGGCAATAAACCAGAATGGTGAATACCAATACCTCTTTTCAACAATGGAAGGATATTCTTGATCTGCGGAAGCTCTTTGTCTGCATCTGGAAGCAAGTCGATTGCATTATCAAAGATTTTCAGAAGCGCAGATCTCTCCTCGTCGTTATTGAAGTCTAGTTTGGACATCTTCAAAGCTAAAGACTCGCAATCTCTCTTCGAGAATGAAAAAACAATAACCGGGTTGTATCTCTTCATGTAGATCATTTTCACAATCTTGTAGATGTCACTATTTCCATCTTTAACGCCACCCTTTTTAGTTTGCCCATTCTTTTTTCCGTTTTTTGCAGAGTCTCCTGACGCAGGATCGTCTCCCATACTATTGGATATGGAAGACATTGCCTTTTGGAAATTTTCCTCACGAAAAGTACCCTTTTCATCCACCACTAAGTGAATGCCGTCACCCGCAGCAGGGAACAAATAATGTTGTAAAGGGGTTGGCCTGAAGTCGGTATAAACAACATGGCAAGGTTGGTTGTGAGTTTTCACAATCCATTCGGCAAATTCCATTGCATTTGGAATAGTTGCAGACAAAAACACGTGGTGCACCTTATCCGGAAGCAATATAATTGTCTCTTCCCAGACAACACCTCTTGACTTATCTCTCATGTAATGTACCTCATCAAAGATCACCCAGGCCACCTCACGCATGACTTCAGATCCTCTGTATAACATGCTCCGCAAAATCTCGGTGGTCATAACAAGGCAGCCTGCATCGGGGTTTATGGTGACATCTCCGGTCATCAACCCGACATCTCCAAATTCAGCCAGAAGCTCTCTGAATTTCTGATTACTCAATGCCTTAATAGGTGATGTATAGATGACTCTTTGTTTATCTCTGAGAGACTGTGCGATCGCGTATTCGGCCACAACTGTCTTACCTGCTGATGTATGCGCCGAGACCAAAACAGACTCGTCTCTGTCGATACATGAAATAGCTGTATCCTGAAAGGGGTCTAAGGTAAAGGGGTATACACGAGCTTCTGAAGATCGTTTGTGTTCACCAATTGGGACATAGGGATAATCAGGGGGGATTGCGACTTGATGTCTAACCTGATGCTTCAATTTAAGCCCGGAAGACTCCCCTGTCGAGCCTTCCCCAGGCTGGGCCAAGAGTCCTGCAGAAGCAGCAACTTCTCTCAGTGCCTCTATTTCAATAGAGTCACTGACAACAGCTTTTTTTGGTTTGCTCTCAGACGTGGTATTAGCCTTTTTAGTAGAAGGCTGAGGGCTAGAAGGCTGAGGGCTTTCAGCGTGCAGCCTTTTTTTCAGATCTTGCAAAGTATCCTCTTTGAGAGACACTTCCTTCTCCACAGGAATTTCGGCAGCAACCTCTGCTGGTGTCTCAGAAAAGACATCAAAAAGGTCGTCACCGTCCATCTGTATACTCTATAGGGCAAGTTGTACGTTTTTTTCCATGGAACGAGATGCCCGTGAGTGAAATAGCCCATCGCAGAACACCCGTACATTTTATGTAAAGAAGCGTCAGTTGAAGCATCATGTGATATGGACAAGAAAGATCATGGCATTTTTCGGGAAGAAGGTCGCATTATGTTTCCCTTCCATCATGCCTTGTGGATCCACATGTTTCGCGTCGCTTTTGTGGGTTTTGAATTTAGAATTTGGCATCTTTCTCCGCACAGAAGTCGATTCTGCCCCACCATAATCTGCGTCGCGAAACTAATCGATAAAAAGATACAGTCGTCGTCAACGTAATTATAGAGCCGCTATTCACAGAAAACGTAGAAATATCTCGCGTATGTTTCCAAATTAAATAAAGCCAGATTCCCCTGCAGAACATTCTGAAACTAGCACTAGATTTTCTTCTACTTTTGATTTTTAAGCAGCAATTTTAAAAAGGAAAAGAATTAGGTGTTAAGAATCAAAAAGGTGTACATGAGAAACATCCGAAACCATGCAAGTGAATTGATTTTTTTTTATGAACAGAAAAGGTATTGAAACAGAAACATTACAAGTAAGTTAGTCCCGAAATCTTAAAAACATCTTTTAAGAACTTTCAAATTGTACTTACTCTTAAAGATCTTGTTGTGTGACTGTATTTTGCAATTCCTTCACAGCTCTCCATTTCTCTCGATCATACTTCCCAATGACAGCACTTGGAACACTGCTCACACGTGACTTGTCCAGAAAATCTCCAATTTCACAATCCCATGATTTATCAGGGGGGTTCATGGGGTATGGCTTGTCAAAAACTCCAGAGTTTTCTTCTCGCAAGATTCCACCAAAACTACTTGCTGGAGGCCGTATAAAAGCAGTCTTTTTAGACTGTAGATCAAGCAGTGATCTTGAGAAAAACATTTTTCTTGCTTTCCGCGGAGACCCAGACTTGCTGGAGATGCCTGAAGCCACTGATATCATCGACGTGGCTATCGAGCTGGAATGCTTATGTTTTTCAATCCTTGGAGGCCTGGTTTCGAGATTCGAGTCTTTCCTCTTTAAACGGCCAATTATCTTTTTAATGGGTGAGGTTTGCGCGGATTGATCTTCAGCTTCTTTCAAGACATCTTGCTGAGGTGTAGCACATTTTTGAAGGGTATCATACAGAGCGGAGAATGTGTTGGTGGATACTCTTGATCCATGAGTGCACTGTTCGCGATACGTGTGCAAGGATGGTGCAGCCAGCTTCTGGTGATAACTGGAGCTGAAAAAGATTGGGCCATTTGCTTCACACAGTTGAAGCCATTGGTCTTTATTGGTTTCCCATTCATTCAAAGAAACGTTTTTCATCAAGTTTTGGATATTGTCAGCCGATTTTACCCATCTTGGTCCTCCCATTGGTATTGTCTCGAGTCCTTCCAAAATGTCTTTTTCAGAAGAGCTTGCAGCTGGATTGTGGTCGGATATATAGCTACTCCCGGGCTCCAAAGCTGGTAATAAGATTTGATTCTTTTGCAGAACACGCTTATCAGTACTTTGCGATGTTTGAACGAAAGACATATCTTGGGGTATTAAAGAGCTGCTTTCGAGTCGCGGGTTACCGGATTCCATGAGATCGGCAAAGGGCTGAGACTTTTTGGAATGCCGAAAGCTGTTGGTGAGACTTTCTTCATGTGAAAGCAGCTTTTGATTTGTGTGACTGTTTTCATGATCTACAACAGCAAGATCACAGAAAAGCCCAATCTGCTTGGCATCCTTAAAATGAGTTTGAGCTGCTGAGAATACAGGCGTTTGTTGCAAGCTTGTAATATGAGTGACATTGGGCCCAATTTCATCGTTTTTTAGCAGTGCCTTATCAAGAGAAATTGAACGCAGTCTTCTTTTGTACATGACATCTGGTAAGTGTGATTCTTTCAGTGAATCAGATATTGTCTTGGAGACTAGAATCAGCCCTATTGTGTTCGAGCGATTCATTCTTACTTTAGGCATATTGATAGAGCCTAATGTATTTGATAGTGTTCCTTTATGCAGTGGCTTTTTGCATAAGTCGGTTTTACCGGTGGCTATGCAAAGAGGTTTGGAGCTCATCCAGTTCTCTGACATACCCTCATAAGTGTCAGAGTTTGACATTGAAGCTTGAACAAGCCAATTAAGGGACAAATCATCCTCACGCAGTACTTCGGGAGTCACCAACGTCCGCTCTGAATCCTTATTGCGAAGTGTCTTATCCGACGACATGCACTCGTCTAGATCAACATGGACCATTGGAGGTTGATATAATGTGTTTTGAGTCCTATGTAAGGATAAGCTTTTGACACTTGGCAGATCTGATTGCCAACCAGTGGCCTCAGACTCACGATCTTTAGTGGGGATTGAAGAACTTGTTTTTGTCTCAGTTTTCATAAGTAAACTTATAGTAAGAGATGCACCTAGGGCCATCATTGAAGCTAATGCCAAAGACAAAAGAACTGGTGCAACATTAAATAGTGAGGTTGCCTTTTCTTGATCTAAATCCGAATCAGTCAAAAAAGTCGGTAGGTATGCCAACAAAACAATAGTCGAGCCGAAATAGAAAGCAGATAGAACATATTGAAGCAGAATGAGAACTGGTGAGGGCGAAAGGAAGACTGATATAGACATCAAAGTTCCCAACGCAAAACAGCTGGTCATAAAAATTATGAGCCTGTCATCATGTTGATGATCATATACTAGTACCGTCAAGACTGCTTGAACATAACATAGGCACACAAGGAGCGATTGAATCAGCGTTCGAAGCCACGTCATCAATTCTCTCTGAAGGAAATCTTTCTAAGGGAAATTCGAAGTCCGAGCAAGTTATCCGTAGTCTCGAATAAAGGCGTAGAAGAAGGAGTCTGGCTTCTTTATTTTTAATAAAAATGTTTCAGGTTTGTATGGAAGAAGCCATGAAGGAACAGGGAATGTTTCGGACAGAAAAAAAGAAACTGGTATAACTTTGAAGATACCTTTGAAAGATGTAGGCTTATCTGTATGAAAAGTTCCGTCTTTCTCGGGTATATGTGCATGGATCAAAAAGCAAAGAATTCACGAGCTTGTCGTATTTACTAAAATGCCTAATAGGGAAACTTGGGTGCAAAATACGTGCGACGAAGATTTCTAAGGCGCGCATGAGGGCGGGATACTACGTTAAGGCGGGATTCTTTATGACTGTTCCAGAATAACACTATCCTTGCAAACTAACCCGATGAGTATTATTAAACTAGAGATTATACGTTTCATTGGGTAATATTTTTCGTATGAATCTAATTTCAACTTGCCAAAAAGGCTCCTAATTTAAAAAACGAAGTCTCCAGAGATCCATCTGTTTACCATGTCCAAAGAGTTCTCTGGTTGGTCGAATGGAACCATATGTCCTGCGCCAAAAACGCGCAAGAAGGTGAAATGTTTGTAATTTTTCACTTCTCCAGCAGCCTTCTCTTCGACGACCCAATCTCTAATTGGTTGTGCTTCGAACTTCTCTTGTTCGGACCATGGTAACTTGTCAACCCAAGCTTGGTTACCCAACCAGTTGCAGATAAAATCCTTGTCGCCTGCATATATAAGCACAGGTAAGTCTGCCTCCAACATGTCGACAACATTTTTGTGATAGGGCCTCATCCAGTCACCTGCAAACAAAAAGTTTCTGTTGACGTCAAAGTTACATCCTTGGTATGCTTCGACCTCAACACCCAACATCTGACGAACCTCGGGTAAGTTCAAGTAGTCATCAATGTACTGCAATTCTTCGTAGCACAAGCTAGAACCCTTGCACTCGGTTCTGATATCGTAAACATTTCTTCCAGTTTTCTGGTAAGGGCCCATTTGTGCATTGTTACAGTAAATGCTTGCTGGAACACACGACCAGACGGATCCTGAGTTGTAACAACTCTCAATCAAGGATGTGCATCTGGGAATAGAAGCAGCCATGTTGTCACACTCCTCCGGGGACAAAACAGAAGGCTCTCCACCTTCCCCACATGCCATTGGCTGGTAGTATTCATATTGGGTCAATGGGTCAGTCAATCCGTTACCAATTAAAACTGACTTAAAGTTGAAAGAACGCTCGGGGTGGCTCAATATCTCAGATGAAAATACTGGAATGTAGTGACCACCGTAGGATTCACCAGCAATATGAAAATCAAGTTTCTGGTACTCTGGAAATTGCTTGAAAAACAATTCCAAAAAGGCATACACGTCCTTACCGGCTGCAACGGTATTGGTGACGGATTGCGAAGAGTAGGAGAAACCAACGTTGACAGGCTGGTCCAAGAAAATCACGGAGGCATTGTTATTCCACGAGTAAGGATTAAACTCAGGCTTCAACTTAGCGGTGATGGATGAAGGGCCCAATTCGAAGAACAAGCCAGTCAAAGAGGAGCATCCTGGTCCACCGTTTAACCATAAAATGATAGGGTCATTTTTCGGGTCATTTCTGGATTCAAAGAACCAGTAGAAGAAATGTTTATCTTCATCTTCCACATCTAAATAACCTGTGTACTGTTTGACAGTGTCAATCCCCAATTCTTCTGGAGTCGATTTGACTCTCAACTGGTGATTGGGAAACTTCGTGTCAGACACATGGAAGTCGAAAGCAGAAATGTTCTTGGTCGCCTTTTTGGGGGGAGTCTTGAAGCTCATCTGAGCGATCTGTTTTGGAAACTCCAAAAACATGTCTTGCCACACTTTCACAGCATCAGGGGGAATTTCTCCAAATGGCTCACTGAAATATTGAGTGAGCTTAGCAAGAACATCACCCTTTTTCAGGTCTAAGGCCTCAACAATTTGCGAATATTGCGAAGAAACATGAACCCAGTTATTGATGAGAACTTGCTGGGTCTCTTCGAATTTCGTCCCACCAACAAAGTTGGGAAGAATAGCGGCATTTGCTCCCGCAGCAGCACACGCCAAAGTGGCCAAGGAGGAGACTTTCATTCGGAGTAGTGTGAGTCGGTGAACTTTACCAAATCTAAATTTCAAATATTCAAAACGGGTATCGTGCTTCGGTTGTTTAGTAGCAGATAGATATTGTGAATATATGCTCTTTTTATTTGGGAGGTGGGTGTATTAGAAAAGAAAGTGGTATGGAGGTAGAGATTATTAAAATGCGACTTGCGGGGAGGGAGGGAGGCAAATTGTGTGCGCCTGTGGTGCCGCTCAGTTGCGTGGCTGGTGCAGATAGGCGGAAACGGATAATATACAGGACATACGTAATTGCGATAAGGAGTTTCTTCGACAATTTACACAGAGCTCGGCTGACGAAAATTGCAAAATCAGAGTACGCACCGATTGAGTGAGCGGCATACTGGAAAGATATTTATATCAGTTTGGCAAACAAAAATAGAGCTTCTTGATTTTGCACGGGTGTCCGCATATTAAAACAGTAGTATGATGCGACCAAACCGGCCGCTGAATACGGGGTCTGGCACCCTGGTGGCCGCGAGTTCATGCGCAGCAATCTTTTAGGCAAGATGCAAGCCGAATAGGACGGCGGACTCATTTTTTGCTGGCTTTATCGCATTAATGGAACAAAACCAGGATATACTGCCTTTAGAGCCTCCAGCCAGCCCCGCCCAATCAGTACATAGAGTCAACACGTGACACCGCCTTCTTTTTTTTTATGAGTGTTTTTTCGGATGACTTTCTTCTTTTTCTAGGAATTATTATATATAGGACGCCACCGACAAACTAGCCCCAATGCCAAGTTGCGGCTATTAACTCCCTACTTTTTTAACATGGTTAAATCTCAAAACAGGTATCTAGGTGCTCATCGGACGTGATTTCCGAGGAGCTTTGGACAGCAGTTTGTTCTTTTCTTGTTGTTAGATTCGTGTGATTAAAGGAGCAAAACTATATAAATAACATGTACAAAAAACCTTTACACAGCTCCCAGCCACGTACCAGATGTCGGAACTCGGCCCGCCACTTCTGTTAGCCACGGCCAGGACGATCCTCGTGGCCCGTGTCTGTTTACGTGTTGGATATTACGTCATCGACTCCCTGGATAGGTCTCCTGTAGTAGTCGCTTCAACTCAGATGGTTGTAGCGGACTTAAGGAGCCAAATTCCCGCGACTCGCCACGCCTTCTCGTGTAAACCTTGAAAATCGCGGTGACGAACCAATTTAATTTTGTTGAGTTCTCCAATGAGTTGTGGGCTGGAGCCAACATTGAGTTCAAGCTCATGGGCTTGGTAAATTTTAGCTTTTGCCACCAGTATTTGGATGTCTCGCAGTTGTTATATATATGGCTTAGGAAAGCGTCGGTTGCGTCTCCTTTGTTGTGAATTTGTTCTGTGCAAAGATGGCATTGAAAATCTGATGTGTCGCTTGGTAGGGTCCTGCGAGGGACATATGATCCGTAATCTTATTTGATGGATGGACGAAAGATCGTATCGCTTTATCCATTCTGCCTTATACAAGACTTTCCAAAAGTGCTTCCACCTCTGAGTCTGACGGACCGCGGGGCATAAGCGAACAAAGCGCTGTGGCATTATCGGGAGTTGCTTTTCTTGCTTTTTGCGACTTAAGGATTTGAAAGTCTCCTTACCAATGGCTTTTTTCTCTGCTTTGTCGAGGTATGGAGTTTTTGCTAGCATTTGTTTGATCTGCTCCTGATTGTACTTTGAGCTTTCGCCTGGTATCAGTATGGTCCTTGTCCTGGGTACCACTTCTTTCCACGCTTCGAAATAGGCGATTTCGTTTTTCGTGAAGGTCCACTCCAAGTGTGTGAAGAATTGACCTGTTTTGTCAAGCAAGAAGTTATACCATTCGGAGGCGGCTATATGTCTTAGCCTGGCTTGTTCGTCGTTCGATACGATTTTGTTCATGTGGTGAAGCATTCGTATTCTAAGATACTGATTGTACCAGCTATCGTTGTTTTGGAGGGTGTCCGTCAACACCATTGCCCGATGCCCTTTAAGTTGGGTCAGTAGTTCGATAAGGCCGTAGCCTCCGTTGCGAGGTCTCGCGTAAAGTTTAGACTTGTGGATTCCTGGGAACATTGTCTGAATTTTAAAATCCATTTTGTCGAGTTCTCTGGCGGTCATACACTGAATCAAATCTTTGTATACCGTTTTGGAACTGACAAAGATGTTTGTCCCCAATACTCGGCTGATCAAGTCGAGGCTCTGATATCCCAGCTGTCGGGTCATGAATGGGAGGCTGGCTGTGAATTTTGTCCAGTTGACCCCTTTTATTGGAATACCCAAGTATGTCGTCAGGTCTTTGAAAAGATAAGACTTGGGGAATCGGAGATATTCTTGTTGAAATTTGGGGTAGCCTCGATGGAATCCGAGAAGTTTAGATTTTTCATAGCTTATTCTGCTATTGCTCACTCGCTCGAAAGCTGTGATTATCTTTTCGGTTTTTTGGTAGTCGTCTATATCATTGAGATATATGTTGACGTCATCTGCAAACGCATGGTACTTCATTGTTTGTAGTTGGACTCGTTGGTAGCAAAGTTTGATACCTTCAATCAGGTTGAGTTGAGCTAGAAACGGTTCTAGTGCCAAATTAAAAATAAGAGGCGATAGGGGGTTTCCTTGCCTTGTGCCGCATTGTAGTGGAAAGTAAGGCCCTTCGCAGTTATTCATAAAAATCTGACCTGATTGATCCGTTATGATCAGTATTATTAGTCGAAGCGCCAGGTTTCCGAATCCCATTTTCGTAAGTACTTCATAAATATATTGATGAGAGATCCCATTGTCTGAATTTTAAAATCCATTTTGGCGTCTGTGTAAGGCGTGTGAAAATAAGATTGAGACCTATTATGTTCACACAAAATAACATTCAAAAAACACCAAAAAACTTATGATTTTACGAATACATTTTTAACCCAACATTTACATAAATAACTACATAAAACATACTGTGTTATGATACGACATGAACAAGATTATAGATTCTCGTCATCCTGTATAATACGAAGGACGAAGAGTCTAAACATTCCTGATCGGGGTTACCCCTCACCTACTGTATAGAATGGTTCCGAACTATAAAGGGGCGTGAGGCTGAGACATCCCTGAAGAAGGACAACACTTTTTAGACATCGAGAATACGACAGATAGACTAGGCCAATCCACTAAGGCTGAACTATCTATAAACCGATCTACTCGTAGTTTAAGAGACAACTCAAGGCTGTTTCATAATAGTGTTTCATAGTATACTGCAGCAACAAGCCTGTGTGGCGTAATGGTTAGCGCATTTGACTTCTAATCAAAAGATTCCGGGTTCGAGTCCCGGCATGGGTTCTATATGCGGCTTTAGCTCAGTTGGGAGAGCGTCAGACTGAAGATCTGAAGGTCCTGTGTTCGATCCACAGAAATCGCATTAATTTTTGGCATTGTGCCTTTCGTTAGGATATTTTCTATTGGACGATATTGTTACCCGCTCGATTTTTTTTTGTTTTCGTGAGACGAAGTGTTGAACAACAAGTATGCTAAAGCTCTGAGGATGAAAATTTGGTGATTACAAGTTATCCATATGATCTGGATTAAAGGGCTACGAGAATATAAAGGCTCTAAAACTTTATTGGGAGAGGGCATCTCTGGAAAAGTAGAGCTCTATGAGAAGGGGACCAAAAGATACGTCATTAAAACTTATCATGGAAAAGAACTCCACGAAACTCGCAAGGAATATAGGGCTCGTATATTGTACGAATATCAGTTGCTTAACTCTCTCCAACACCCGAACATCATTCGAGCATTCAAATCCGTCGTATCGGCCAATGGACTCCAGGTCAAGGTGTTCATCGAAGCAGGATCGCCAGATCTCAGTGTTTTACTTCAAAGACATGGATCATCACTCTGTATAACGACATTGACTGCCTTATGGAAACAGGTATGCGAGGGAGTTTGCTATTTACATGAACGAGAACTATGTCACCGTGATTTGAAACTAGAAAACTTAGTTATGAATCCAGAGTTCACGCAAATAAAGATTATTGATTTCATGACAGCTACTAAATGCGAGGGACCCGTCGTGGGAATAGTCGGATCGAGCCGCTATATGGCTCCCGAGATGGCGTCAAGAATATCGTATGAGGGAAAGAGTGTTGACATGTGGTCGCTTGGCATAATTCTATACCGCCTTCTTAGTCGGAAATTTCCATGGAGACAAGCTATGCATCTGGACCCGGATTTTAAGATATATGCGGAGACACGAGGAAGCGGATCACAACTGAGTGACGTCTACGGCAAAAAGATAGGTGGAAAAACCCACTTACCGGGCTGGTCACCTTCATTTCCAGTGTTGATGTCTTTCTTATTGGAAATCAACCCATCAAATCGATCTACCATACAACAGGTCTTTGAAGATGAATGGTTTGCTTCGATTCAATCACGTTTGGATGACTCAATTCTCCCCCCCAACAGGATGAAATATTATACTGACCTAGGGGTTAGCGAAAGTAAATCCATACGCGAAATACCGAAAATATCACGGATTGCAGGAACGCTTTGACGGCTATCCCATGAAATGGAGCGCAGCACTCTCATGGGCATCAGTCAAAGTTCAGTTTTTTGGTCTCCCGCAGAGCTGAGCTTTGATTCGCCACATTATCAAAGTTGTTGCTTACTCAGTTTAGATTGTTAATCAGTATCTTTAGCTTGATACAATATTATCATCAAGCGTATTCGTTTAGCTGAATAACAGTGTGCATACGGGTAGAGCCTGTCGGTTGGGCCCTCAGACTGTGGGTAAGAGCCTGACTCTGACATACAAAGAGAGTCGAGAATAGCCAAACTAGATTTTATTTTCTTACCCTTGGCAGTATCATCCGAACAGAGTCAGTGAGCTCTATCGTCAGCCTTTTTTTTTTTTTTTGGCTTGCATAGTCTTGTCAAGACCAGCTGAACAAAGTTTGACTCGGATCACATTTTTGTGCTCTCCAGTCAGTCTAGAATGTGCAAATCAAGAAAGAAGGGGGGACGTGAGGGCCGATGTTCTACATTCGAATATTGTCCTATAGTAAAAACAATTTTGAATGAAATATCATCAAATAAACGTTTCAGCAAAGCATGCAGCGTTGTGTGTTTAAGGGCCATGGTTTTTGTAACTCTGTCCACTTTTCCACATCGGGGTTTCCATGATGGAAACAAAGTCCACGGAATGTATGCGGTATTTGCTCCGCTTCGTCAACTCATGCAGCAGCTTCACCACGTCAGAGGCGTCTGAAGTCACGTGACGTCTCCTCACTCATCCCATGACTCAGAGTTTTTCAAGTAGGGCCCGCCCGTCTTTAGCAAACACCAAACGATTGTCAAAAAAACCATGTATTCTCGTTCTATCAGTGCTCTCAAGAGTGTGCCAAGAACCTCCTTGGCCAGAAACTATGCACTCTCTGCAAAGGCCCAGGCACTTATCTCCAAGTCTGTAAGAGAGGTGGACCCAGAAATGGCCCTGATCTTGCAGCAAGAGAAGGACAGACAGAGAAACTCCATCACTTTGATTCCTTCAGAGAACTTCACTTCCAAGGCCGTCATGGACTTGTTGGGTTCGGAAATGCAAAACAAGTATTCTGAGGGCTACCCGGGTGAGAGATATTACGGTGGCAATGAGATAATTGATAAGGCGGAGTCTCTCTGTAGAACCAGAGCGTTGGAAGCGTTTGGTTTGGACTCTGCCAAATGGGGCGTCAATGTGCAATCCTTATCTGGAGCACCTGCCAACTTGTACGCTTACTCGGCTATTTTGGAGGTTGGTGACAGAATCATGGGGTTGGACTTGCCCCACGGTGGACACTTGTCTCATGGCTACCAAACGCCATCAGCCAAGATCTCGTACATCTCGAAATACTTTCAAACTATGCCATACAGGTTGAACGAAGAGACTGGCTTGATTGACTACGATACGTTGGAGAAGAACGCTATATTGTTCCGTCCTAAGGTCATTGTCGCGGGAGCCTCTGCCTACTCCAGAGTCATCGACTACAAGAGAATGCGTGCGATTGCCGACAAAGTGGGTGCATACCTCTTGTCTGATATGGCACACATCTCTGGCTTGGTTTCTGCCGGTGTCACAGACTCTCCATTCCCATACTCGGACATTGTCACCACTACCACTCACAAGTCTTTGAGGGGCCCACGTGGTGCAATGATCTTCTTCAGAAAAGGTATCAGAAAGGTCACCAAGAAGGGCAAGGAGATTCCATATGACTTGGAGAGAAAGATCAACTTCTCGGTCTTCCCAGCCCATCAGGGTGGTCCACACAACCACACAATCTCTGCCTTAGCCGTTGCTTTGAAACAGTGCTCGGCTCCAGAATACAAGGAGTACCAACAAAATGTTGTTGACAACGCTAAGGCCTTCGCTAAGGCCTTGGAGTCCAGGGGGTTTGAATTGGTATCCAAGGGGACCGACACTCACTTGATTCTTGTTGACTTGCGCTCCAAGAAAATCGACGGTGCCCGTGTTGAAGCGGTTTTGGAGAGAGCCAACATTGCTGCCAACAAGAACACAGTTCCAGGCGACAAGTCTGCTCTTTTCCCTAGTGGATTGAGGGTGGGTACACCTGCAATGACCACGAGAGGGTTCGGTGCCGAGGAGTTTGGCAAAGTTGCCGAGTACTTTCAGAGAGCCGTCGATATTGCCATTGACTTGAAGAAAAAAGAGCAGGGTTCTGTTGCTAAGGAGTTATTGGCATCTTTCAAGACCTTGGCTAATGAAAGTGCAGAGGTGAAGGCTTTGGACGAAGAAGTGAAGGCTTGGGCCAGCAAGTATCCTGTTCCAGGAGACTTGTAATTACCAGGAATATATAGGGGTGTCGAGGTTTGAAAAAAAAAAATGCTCCATTTGTTTTAAACTTAAAAAAAAATTTAAGGAATATCGGTTCGAAGGATGACTAAAGAAAGAGCCCAAAAGAGACTCGGGTGATTATGCAGAGGTTCTGCAATAAAATTAGGTGCGACCGATCTCACAGCTGTATCCAAGTAAGTCGATGATTCAAAAGTTCACTTGGAGGTACAGAAAAACAGAGGAGAGATGTCAATTAACTCAAGAAGAGAAAACCACTGCACTCACTAGTGTTCCCGACCTTCGCTACAAGATGAACCAAAAGTTGCACGTATACCCAATATTTATCAGATTAAAGAGGTTGTTTTAGTACATGTATTTCAGATGAACATCGTTTTATGCCAAATGCTGAACTTCAGCCGTTATCAATTCGGAATGGATAACGAAATCTTTACACTGATATAGGAAGAGATGTGCAAGCCTAGATCTTGTCTTCAGATGTTTGATAGAGGCATAACTATTATGACTTGATTGCGTCATTTATGACATGCAGAAAAAATTATGTTGTCTTCCATTAGAGAGACTGGACCTTAATTCCAGGCATTAGACGAGGAATAATGGAACCTCATGACGCCAAGAGGGAATTGTTGAACTTCCAGCAACAAAGTAATGACTGAATGCTTGGAATCGTTATGATAAAATAGGTGGCAGGGTGACATAACCTGCACTTCTTTGTCCTCCACGAGTTGCCTTTCTCATGGGCAAAATTTATCCACAATCGTGTACTTAAAGCCTCAAAATTCATTAATGGTTTAGGGGTCTGTTTTTGATCCCTGAATTTACGCAGATGCTGGTGACAATTCAAGACTTGGTCCGAAAACTAGATTTTTTGGAAAAGATCCTTCTCTACTGCGAAAGAAAAAATATTTTCAAGTGCATCAGTATTTCCGTGGAGATAAAAAAGCCGCTTACCGATGATGTCGTTTTTGGTTCTCTAAGGAATTTAGTTTTGAAATACCCATTGCTTTCTTCTTTCCCAGAAGGCCAAGGGCCTGACATAGAGTTCAGACCTCTTGACCAGGTCCTTTTCAAGGATGTGTACGTAGTCAATGAATCAGTCACACAAATGCTGAATGATGATGGCTCATCACCTCTGGAGTTGACATCTCTTTCTTTCCAAGACAACCATGCAAAGCGAATAGCGTTGTGGAAAATCATTTACTATAAGAATACTGGATGGCTCACTTTCCACAGCTCGCATTGTTTCACTGATGGAGGATCGGTGCTTGCTTACTTGAAAGACTTTGTCGAGGGCCTCAATCAATCGCAGGAGTCAATCGCGCGAGAAGTGTAATATTCACTTGAAGAAGACATGCATTTATTGGAAAATGGAATATCTCCAAGCGTTTTCGAGTGCGTGGGATATAAACCTGACTATTTTACTAAGATTACTTTGAAAGCTCTCAAACTGATTGTCCATTGGTGGCCTGGAGTCGTCGAATCCGTTCTTTTAAAACAACAGCACAATCTGTTTTTTGTTGGATGCCCTTCTATACCAATTTCTCGAGAGACCTGTTTCGAGAGCGATTTTATTATTGGAGAATCCTCTCCGCTTAACTCCACCGTTCCCTATTTCATTAACTTTCCCACCGAAATTTTGAAGGAAATTTTGCGAGCATGCCGCAAGGAGAAAGTGAAGCTTCTGACCTATTACCAATTCGTATCAAACCCCGTGCTTCTTCACATGTTTCTAGCCCCATATATTCCCAGAGATTTACGCGTGCTGTTGTACTATGTCTTCAAAGTAAATAGATATTTCATCTTATTTTAAATTTGTGAGGAAACTGGCTTACTGAGCAAAGCTTTCTGCTGAAAAAACATGCTTTTACCTGCAAATAGACAAAACATATCTATGAATCGTGAAAATCACTGTGACGTAAGAGGTATAAAATTGAAAGCACTTAAAGAATGTGCATGCACGATTGCGAAATGCCGTCTATGTAATTACGACTATGAATGATATCGCTTCTCCGTTGGGGCAAATCGTCCAGCTTTGCACTAGAAATATAGTTCAGGAAACAATTAATATTTTTACCCTCTTATCACTCTATACCATTTTAGGGCAATCTCGTCAGACGCTTTCTTGATGGCCCGT